TGTCCAACCACTCCAGATAACTGAAATCATGAAGCAATCAATTTTAGATCACTGTTAGAAACCTCAAAGCTCTGTATGTTGGTTTTGTGGTGGTTTTGGGACCCATCATCAGTACTCAGTAAAGTTCAAACCTGTCCGGTGTGAAGTACTGCTGACCGAAGACAATGGCTAAGGTCGCGCAAGACCGCGGCTTGAACGACATTAGATATAAACGCCGGCTCAGTGGTCTTGAGGCTAAGCGTTCGTGCGTGAGAACGAGGGTTCTGCTTCCGATTCATACAAACTCGAGTTACCATTTCCTTCTTATACCAGATGTAATTGGCGCACTTCTCAAAACTGCTTGCTGTGATAACTTTCACTTCCTTGCATCAATGACGTATTCTCACTTGCTTATTACCTCTATTTTGACTTCTCTTCTTACGCTTCTGTCCTCTCAAAATCTTCACGATCGATTGTTTGACTGATTTAGCAGTTTACTTCCTAAAATTTCATTATTAGCATTATGACTTTCCATTTGATAATTTGGTCTTGTGATAGCTGCTGGTATCCAAAACGCTACTGTCTTGAGACAAAAAGTGATCACCCGACTTACAGAACGTATAAACTAATAGGGAACTACTAACTAACAAGAATTAGTGCAATCGAGTGACGAGACTAACATCGTCTGGAAGCAGCAGGATAACTGGAACCGTTCCGAAAAAACGGAAATTCAGCACAACGAAATGAGTTGGTTTATACTAGTTGGAGAACAATGATATTGGATATTGGACATGACACGCTCAGGGTGTTTCGTGGGTTTCATGTGTTATCGTGGTATGAGCTGGAATTGTTAGGACCAAATTTCGCGAACTTTGAATTCTATATCGTTATGGCTAATTCAAACGCTTTTTATGAAAGCACATCGTTAAGTGTCGGAATGATAAGATAATTTGTACATAAATTTTAATTAGAATACTGTTATTGTCTCGAGGCTCTCTCCTATATAGAGTTCTCGAGCTTTAGGTTTGAATTATCACAGAATCAGTGGTATTATTAAAAAAATGCCGTTTCAGACTACCATTTCTTCTGCGGTACCAAGAGTACTGACTAAATTGACGGATGGTCCAAGTCTTAGATGTAGGCAGTTGCCTTACTTGAATTTCAAACGTTTTGTATTATGTATCTTCCTTTCATCTCTCTCTAAATTCTTGCCTAAACTACTGAGCATTAAAAACGGATTTAACCAATTTTTACACAAAATATGAATGGTGTTATTGTCCGAGACACCTTGTTTACAATCTACACTCCTTTAAGAATATAGTGAATTGCATTTGCTCGGGATATCGGATAATCACTCACCCTTACCCCTTGAACCATATAGTAAACAAACTATGCAGACAATTACAGTCGCAGTTACCAAAAAAGTTATTCTGCGTTTTACTGATCAGATATCCTTCGTTATCAGGCTTCGAAATAGTCTTGTAACAGGTGTCAGTTAAAGTTGATTAGATAGTCTAAAACTTGATTTAAAAGTCTGAGAGGCGTCCTTATCTACTGATATGAATGGGTATATAGTAGTGATGTAGTTTGTTGGTAAACGTATATAAGGGAGGTTGATTACGTTGCGGTAATCTTGGTACTTCTCGCACTTGTTTAATAGAACCTTACATTTGTGATAACACATTACCGATATAAAATTTGAAACTGCTATCTGAGCCTCAGTAAACCTTGATTTAACAGAGTTTTGGTGAACTGTTTTAGGTATTATTGCATCAAACTTCACATCCTCGTTTTTCCACCCAGAAGTCATGATAAACTGCTGAACAACTCAATACAAGGTTTCGTACATGATATAAGAGACAAACTAAATAAGAGTTATCAAAGAAGGAATGATAACGTAAGTGATAACTTTAACGGTTGTTCTTTTCTCTTATGTTTCCCAGACACAACAGCCTACTTTGAACGACATTAGTTGAACAACAGTAACAACTAACTTCATCGTCTCCTTCTGTACTTTACTTGTCTTGGTGTTTTAACAAGTGTTATGACAGTATTGTAATTACCTTTTAAGCTGCTCTTCACTAAGTGGGACTCTTGACATGGACTACTTCTCAGCAGCGCTACTGGATTTATATTTATTATTCACCCCATCAGTACCCACCATTTAGGAAGACATTTAACAGTTGAGTAACCTCCATTTATAGCAGTTATTCTAAGAGCAACTTCCGAGTAATGTTTATTATGTCCGATATATAACTTCGTTTTGAGTGTTATTATTTATAGTCCGTTATTTATGTTCCGTTTTGCAGTTATATTTATTTTGCGTATCATTATGTACTTTACGCATTTATTTATCCTGATTAAGTTATTGTGTACGTTCATTATTCATCTTAGACTGTTTCATCAATGACCATGTTCATTTAATGATGTTTGTGTGGCAAAAACATCAATAAAAATGTGATATAATGTGCGTATTTTACAAGTAAAAGTTAATGTTGATCGATACTACAAAGACAGTAACGTTTGTAGTAGATTAAACAAAGTGTTTGAACGTTGTTTTAGAAATAACTCATCCGATTTCGGATTTCACCCGTCTCATATTTGTCGAACAATGTGTAAAAAGACCAGCTATCTGATAATAAACTAATATATATTTAATATGATTTGTGCAGAAAGCATATTGTAGTTTAACTATCGTTAACTCATAATAAATAGACTTGAGAGGAATGTTTTCGATTACTTGGAGTTATATTTGATAAATGGCAAACGTCATTGATCAGCTGCATACATTACCGACATACTTTAGGGAATGCCGCCAGTAATCATGAATATAGTTCAAATTAGTAAATGAAACTCAGGATACGAGGGAACGATCATTTGTCTCAGCGCAGATGGATAAAAATTAAAGTCTATCGCCTTCTATAAAATCGACAATTCGCTATAACTATAAAAGATTAGCAGCTTTAAAACCTTAAATTTCCTTCTGAAAACCTCCGATGCTTCACGTATTATCTTTGGTTTTGAAGAATAACCCGAAGAAAAGGATACTCGAAGAAAATGGAAGATCGTAATGTTTAGGGGGTATTCGATATCTTTAGATAAACCAACTGCCAAACCTGATCGGTACGTATATAATTTCAGTGGAGTTGTATACCACCGTTTGATGTGATTCGTCACCATATAAGACAGATTACTAAAAAAAGTGATTGCGAACATTCTTTTTATAATGAGTATTAGGGTAAACACAACGGCCCAATTAAGTTGTAGTGATGTATACATGAAAGTGACGTGCTGACATATAAATAAGTTGGAAACATGTCGCACTGCAGTAGTTCAGTCACCATTAACATGATGAAAATGAAGATATTTTAAACCTGTCCATAATCAGTAGTGAACAAGTAAAAAGTCCTTAAAAAAGTAATAAGTTCGTTTGTTATTATCTAGCCCATTGGTTGGACAGTCGCGACTAAACTGATAAATTTCATACCTTTTTCTTTCTCGTATGCAGATTTATTGCAGGTTCAACTTCTACTGACCTTTCTATACTAAATTTTGCTTGTTGCATGGTTGATTGTCAGTTGTCATTATTGCAAGAAATGTGCAGTATTACAGTCAAATGTAAGTTTCAATTTTTCAAGCCAATTGACTTGTTTGTATTATCACTGACAACTCGAATGCCCTTTTACTACTTTTTTCAGACGGCAAGTATTCAATATCGGATATCCCTTGTTTAAGTGCGCAGTTTAATAGATAATTTCAATCTTTTAACTGTTCTATTATTGTCAGTGTCGCCACCGGTTGCATATTAGAGTTTGTATGTATTGTAGGTGAAAAAATTACATTATTGCTAAAGCGTAGCTTCGCAGATAGTTACGTTTCATATTCCTTTGAGAGGACGTGGAAGTGACAAGGAACTGTTAAAATAAAGATACATAATTGTTTCTACAAACCTGGTTCCGGCTAACCTTATTAGCGAAAGGTTTTTTAATCATACGTTGTTAGATTAATTACTGCTGCGATATTCCACTATGAACTGAAGGTCCTATAAAAATTACTGTTGATTTCGGTTGACCATTTCCCAATATCGAGGTGTTGTATGGGATTCTTATTTACCATATATATATACCAATTCATTTACATATTCAAAATATAGCAGTGTAAACAATAGTGTTCATTTGTTTACAACATTTATTTTAAAAATTCCACAAACCAGTGTAATTTAGAAAGGTAGAGTTAAGAAGAAAATAAAACATTATTAATACAAATTCACGTTAAAATCAAATCATTTTACATGTTGAAGTTTAATTAAGGAGAAATTTTAAGTCAACACAATCGAAAGAAAAAAAAAAATATATATATATATAATTATGTAAATTATTCAAAATTCATATTTGTTTAAGTTTATTTGTTTATACGAAATCTTTTTTAAGAAATAAAGTTGAACTTTATAATATTTCTCTAAATCCTAAATTTACAAGTATTATTGATAAAACCGAAACAATGTGCAAGCATCAGTTTTAAACAATAAAAATCATTCTGAAATGGTTAATACTAAATTTTTAACTTTATTATATTATTTTTAATATGATATTCTCAATAAAATGAAAAGAACCTATTCACTCATATATTGTAGTCTGATGTGATAATCGTTATTCAAGTTTACATCATTTATCTCATTGTGATACGAGTTAACTAAATTCAATTGTCACTTTGAATTCACTGTATTATCACTAGAATACTCTGATGTAAGTTGATCACAACTATTTATTGAATTAACATCTAACTGACTATGTTTACTTGCATTATCATTAGTTATACTGGTATTAGTACTATCATTACTACTACTACTACTATTTGTTGTAGTACTTAATGTATCTAAACTAGAATTTAATTGATCTTCTTGTAAATTAGAATTGATTTTATACTCAGTTTTAATTGATTCATTGTGAATTTGCTCTAGTTGATTACGTTCTTGATGTGTATGTTGTTCATGTGCATACCAGTAATTACAATCACATGGATGTTGATATAATATCGTATCATTGTTTATAATGGTAGTTGAAGATTGTTTAATTCGTTTTCCTCCTAATTTTTGACCGGATAATAACAAGCCATCATTATCATCTTCATAATTACTAAGTTGACTCATATCAGCAACTTCATCACCGATTTCGCCAGCTAACGAGGTAGAAGCTGAATCTTTTCTACTGATTTCTGGATAATCATTAGTCACATTGAAATGGCGTGTAGAAGAAGAAGAAGGTTGCGGTTGTGTTACACTTCTGATTTCATGACCACAAATATGTGGCAGCTCTAAAGAATGATGCTTTAATTCAGCAGTTTTATGTGGATAAAGAGCACTTGAATTAACTGGTTTGTATGAATTATATAAATCAGGAATACATTTGTGCATACACTGGTGATGGATTTCACTATCAAATGGAAGTTCACAATGTAAACATTGATGAATCGATATTCCTAGGTGATCGTTTTGTATTTCTTCTTGTTCTGTTGTTGAGGTTGTTGCTTCCGCCATTATGTCATTACCAGTCACCAATCTACGATGACGACTGCAAACGGCAGTACTTGAGGATAAATGAGGTTTATCATATTCACGTGCTTCCTGGTGCTGCTGTTTCTTCTGATGGTAAATTTGTGAAGTATGAGGTAGAGTATGAGCCCGATATACCGTCATTGCATCCTGCATTGATGTTCCATGCATACAACAGTCACATTCCTCTTGATCAAATGGTGTCTTACATTCTGATGGTTTTTGATGCTTTAGTTTATGATGTAAATGTGATTGAATGCTATGAGAATATTGTTGCGATTTTAATTCATTCTGTGATTTAACAAATTTTTCATTCGTCTGTATTTGTCTTAATTGAGGTGACAACATGGATTGATGTTTTTCACAAGGTTGCGGTACAAGACTAGCTATCCGTTCCGTGACCTTTGGATGATGATAAGATCTATGTTGTTGTTTAGAAATTTCCTTTGTAAGATCACATCTTGGTACGTGAATATTGTAGTTTAAAGTATGACCACTTTCATTTGATCTGTTTACACCTACCATGCTCATTGATCTACTGTTATGCATCACAATGATTTGGTCTGTTTTGTCATTGTTCTCATGTCGTTTCAATTCATTCTCCAATTCATAGTGTTTTATCAAAGGTGCACTTTTTACTGTTAAACTTGTATCACTAACTGTATTCATTTGTAGCTGATCTCTTCTTACTTCAGATAATATTGATGATTTGTCTGTTTCAGTAAGTTTTTCCCTAGAGCTATGAATAGTTCTTGGATAATTTTGCGTTAAATGCCTACATGGTACAGTGAACTGCTCGTTAGAGTTTTGAGGTTTTATTGATGTCACCATTTCTTCACATTCAGTTTGTTTCAAATATTGTATAAATGCACAAAATAATTTCCAATCAATAGGGGACATATTGAGTTTTGCTTCTAAATCCCTTAAAGAGCACAAATCTAGTACGCTACCTGTGATATTGAATTTTCTTATAGAATCTGAATAACGTTTAACAATTGATGATACAGTTAGATTATATGGTGTTGTGTTTACAGCTGATGGTGGTATCGGATCATTAATTAGTGTTTCAGACTCTTCAGAGCTTAGTCTTCTAGTTGAATCTGAATTGTTCTGATTGTTGATAGAATGATCATGTGATCTTGAGTTGTGAACGAAATCCATTTTGTGACCGCTGAAATATTTGTTAGTTAAAATCACTATCCTTTCAACCAACTGACATACTTCATTAACTGTAAATTGATTTAAAGGTTTCTTTGGAACTATTTCCTGAAGAAAGAAGAAAAAAAAGTACCAATCATGTTATTGATTTGAAATCTGATCAAAAATTATAATTCAACTTAACAATAGTTTCTAATATGAATTGATTTTAAGCTTAGAAATACCAAAAGTTCATAGCCACCGTACATTTGTACTGTTCCACTTCATAACATGGTGCCACTTAAACTTAACTGCACACATGGACTAGTTCTTTGTCATAGTTATGATCAACTGAATGAATTCTCCTCAAAGAATTTCACTTATATACTCTTTATGACTGAATTAAATTATAAATATCTGTAAATAAATATATCCGGTGTGTAAGACACCTTATTAAGTATAGTCTACGTAATAATACTCTAAACTGTCGTTGAATAAGGTGAATGACCTGGAGTATGATCAGCATTCTTCAACCTAATGCTTTCCTAAATACTTGAATTTCGATAACAAAGCTTGTCCGAATTCAACCAAAGAATGTTCTGTTTGCTAGGCAGTTTGGTTTTATTTTCAGTGTCTTTCTGGTATAAAGGTATAGGGGAAATAATTTTGTTCACTTTCGCATCATCTCGTATCGATGATATTTAACTGGACGTCACTTCTTACTGATAAAATGTGAGCTTAAATGTAAATTGAAACATTTCATCTATAGAAGAAAATTAGCGTGAAAATGGACTAAAAAGAAACAGGACCATTTATTTTACCAAGAAATATTAAGTTACTCTGTTGTATGCATGCGAATATTATTGCTCTTTTATTAACGATGAGCAGCTTAGCTGTTTTGAACGGCATTTATTGTGGGAGAGCATTTAACCTTCCCTTTTATGTGTAAAGTAATAAGGCCTAAAAATGCTTGAATTACTACTTACCTGAGTTAACAATTCGATTTATTCGTGGTTAGATCAACTACGGTGCTAACAACCTTTGGCTAGACATTCATTATCATAATGGAGAAATTCTAATGGATATAAAATTCCAAATTTTGAATTCAATAACCTTATGATATTCTGATAGACACTAGTTTTAACTGTTCCTATGGAGTCTATCTGATCATTTCAACCCTTAAAATACTTCAAAGTCAAAAGGCGAGTTATATCTGTGTTGGGATAGCCAATCGAGAAGAAAGCCACGCACATAGTGGATTGATGAACTATTTGATTAATGTTCATGATGAACTATTTGATTAATGTTCAAAATATTTAAACGACAATATCGATATTTATATAATTGTATAAATACGCATGTTTGATTGTATATTTTTGATTCTGTTAATAAGTGTTCTCCAACGTTTTCCGTCTTTTTATTTTTGAACGGCTGGAGTCTAACGTTCGGTGTGTCATTAGTACAGTGGTTTGGCGTTACATCAAGTAGAAAACATAAAAATCTGGAAATGCGGTACCGTTATGGCAAAGAGCATAAAAACGAAGTTTACGAAATTTGGATTATGAGGTATCCAGGTATAGGTTATATCGTAAAAAACATAAGTGCGAAGAAATTGGTTCTTTCAGGTAAGTGAATAAGATTTTAGATACAATCTTTTAAACGTTTGTTGATCAAGCAGGAGTGTAAGTAATGTGTGAAGATAGTCTACGTTTAATTCCTTGAGATTCGACGAGCCGTTCAACATCAAAACTTTAAAGAATGGAGAAAATATCAAGATAACGCCATACGAAGGGAAACAATGCTCCTACATTTAGAAAAAAATCGACTACAACATCGAAAAAGTACAGGTGGCTGGAATCACTCAGTCATATAACGTCTTCTGTTACCGCATACAAGCCATAAAATTGGTTGGATATAACTCGAACTACTGAGTAAGTACAAGTAGTGTAGTTTAGCTAACAAAAGAACGAGATACAATACAATTTTGCAAACATTCAACAATCACATTTAGTCTTGTTGTTAGATGTAACGTACTCCATAAAGAGTAGGTTTCAGTGACAATTTAAAGATTTATGCTATAACTTAACCAATAAATACTAGATAAAACATACCTTAAGTTGAACAATAATCGATTTAAGTGAATCCTTTTTAATTTCTGTAAGATCAGTTGATAAAAGCACATCATGATCTTCTCTAATATTTAATGTATGTGAACGTTGACTACTTCTTGAGCTAACTTGTTTTTTTTCTGTCACTAAAATCGAAATTTCAGTTAAAAGTAAATTGGATAAATTTTATTATGGGATATATTTGTTAGAAAATTTCGAAGTTAACAAATAATGAATGACCGTTTTATAGGAGATGTAAATCTGTGTAACTGATCACTAAATATGTTCTTCAGGTAGCAGGAAACCAATGTTTCTCTCGTTATTCATAAATCCAAGGCTCAAGGTTTAGTCGTTTATAAGCTCGTTTCTCTTACATATTAGAAACCTTGAGAAATGAGCTTACTTAAGGTGATCAATGTTTTGTAAAACTTATACTGAGAAATCGAAAGATGATAAAGGAATTTCTAAAAATGTCTCTATGTGTAAGTATTGAAAAGTTTAAAATTCTGAAAGATATTTGTTTGTAACATATATTTTTACTATGACGGGGATCTGTGTAAAATAAAGAATATACTAAAGTGAGTTTTCGAATTTCTAAACTAATCAGCTTACAAGTTAACAAAATGTGAAGTGAGCTAGTGAAAAATAAGTTATTTACGAGCACTAGATATTGATCAAACATACTTTGTATAAATATATAAAAAACTTCCCATCATTTTCAAAGCTATTACATCATAATTTAGACTAGACAACATATGAATGTGCTCTGATTATATGATTGATATTAATTGTTTGCTAGACACAAACATTCCAAACCGTAAGAATGTACCTTGTCTATTTTCTATTTGTCCAGGGCATATATATCTTTCATGCTATTATGATTAGTACAACACTAATCATTACAGTTAAAGACAATCTATTTGGTTTACTTAGTCTCCTGCTATTAAACGACAAGTGGAACAAACACATTTTTCATAAGTGTTTATGATTATATTGTCTTTAAACGAATCTGAATTGAACTAAGAATAGATCACTTAAAATAATTCGTTTTATGTGGTTGGGAAATAAGTGCGCATCCTAAATATCTAATTACAGTGGAATTCTTTGTTGTGGGATTTCTTATTGCATGTCATAAGATTTATTCTTATCTGATGTCAATTATTATAACTTTATTACATGTTCATCGACAATTTAGTAACTAACATTCCCTTTCAGTAATTTTATTCTCCAATCAAGTGTGTGAATTACTGCCAGATATAATTATTTTTTAATTTACTTTATCAATCGACAAATTTGTTGATCTTAAATCGTTAAGTAAGAATGTCGCTCTTGTAAGCAAAGCTAGATTAGAAATGAGCTGGCAGTTTCCAAAAATAGGGAATACTATCGATCAAGTTACAAAACTCCTTGAGAATAGAGTATGACGTGTGTATTTGCTTATCACAACTTACGGAGATTTATCGAAATCATGAACTTATCAATGTTAAATCAACATTGAAAAATCGGGGGGACTGGACGGCTGTTTCGTCTTAATACGATCTGAAGATACATATACTACAATGGAACGATCATTGAGTACTTCAAGGTTTTCAGTGATTTGATCTGTTCATGGTTCATGATTTCAATGAGGATCAACAATCTCCACAATCCTATGATTACTGAGACTTATCACTTTATGCTGTTGGATTGACTGTACTAAATTTCTGATGTGAATAATTTCGAAAGCTAATAGAACCATTTTAAATAGCTTTTAATAATGAATGATTTTGATAACTATCAAAATTAATTTAAACTTATTCAGTCTGGAACAAACTGGAGGGTAGGTTAATCGCTAAATAGTACTTAATTTATATTAGTTAAGAACTAATCAAATTGTTTGATGATGAAATCTCTAGATGTGGCACTAAGTGATACTGATGAGGCAACCTGAGAGTATTTGAGCCTACCCTATGTTGAAGAGGCGTTACATGAATATCAAATCTATGGTTTAGCTATTCTGATACCAGTCATTCCAGCTAACAAAACGATGTGTACGCTGATCGATCTTTGAGTAGGAAACCATCCCCTTAGTGTTGGTCAGATTGTTTGCTCCCTTGTAGTATGTTAGTATTATTAATTTAAACTATTGTTAAAGACTTTGATGAATCTTGACATTTCCAAGTATGAAAAAAAATTCATCAAAATTTTCTGTTCACATGACTGGCTGTTTTGTGGACTTTCTAAATGATTGTTGATTTTAGTATTCCAAATCACACATACGAAGTAAATTCGAACTTAATTATATATTCGCTTAGGAAAAGAAAATAAATATGTTTCACATTTTTTTTTGGAAAATTAACTGAATACTTACCTTTTGGTTCAATAGTGTTTCCACGATTATTCATCATAGGAATCAGTGATTCTAAAGCAATTTTTTTTAAAAAAAACGTGTAAATAATTTTTAGAGTTAACTTTGAACATTGCTAAATTACATTGGAAATTTTTATGTGTATAAAAGTAACGTTAGTATGGAAGTAAGCAGATGGTTTATATATATATATATATATAATATTTCCATTTCTTAGTTTTTTCGTTTGAAATTATTTCTATTCATATAAATTTACATAAATCACATATCACACATACACCACAGCATCAAAAGCAAATGCGTAACATTGGAGGCATAATTATTTGCAGAGTAACGGTGTCAGTTTAGTGAAGTTGGTCGTGCGGTTTAAATGTAACACGTTGAAAAGATTATTACTCTATACATTTTTCTGTTAAGGTTTCAGTTTAACATTTCATCAAATGAAGCTTTTACATGAGGATTTCATTTCTGGTTTCAAAGGTTAACCCATTAATCATAAGAGAAACTTGAAATGTAACAAAAAACAGCTGATTAATCTTAACGGGTTGAAAAAAAGTTAAAAGAAACTACTGTAAATTGAAAGAGTACCTTCAATCCACCGATTAATTTGTGGATTTAAAAATGGTGTTAACTTCATAATTCTCAAAAGTTGATTCATTGTAACTGATCCAGTTTGAGAAGTGGTCGAATCCAATTGATATGCATCACATGATCTAAGAAATTCACCAAGTTTCGTTGGATCTTTATCACAAAAAGCAATTTCACAGATTTTTAAAGTTTTATTTATTGTTGTCAATAATTCATTAGTTATAAGAAGAGATTCATTGTTTGTATGAAATGTTCCTGGTGTTGAATTTACTCCACTTGATGCAGATAATGCTTTTAAACGTACCATTTGAATAATTGGTTCTAATCTAGTAAAAAAATTGTGAAACAGATCAAATAATAGGTCATTTTTTTTATACAAAACGTAGTTGTGACTAAAGATTTTATTGTTTGCAAATTAATAACAAGTTAAAATGATGACGGACCTTCTATAACGTGCTGAGTAATTTTCTAGCCTTTTCATAAGTTTCAAAAAAAGTATTTAGAAATGAAATAATAAAATGACATTTTAGTTGTACTCTAAGCAATGCATCAGTGTAAGTCCTTAATACCAACAATAGAAAGATGTAAGACTTACAAAATAATATATATATATATCTATTGAACAAAATAGTGGCTGGTTGTTCTCTGTAAATGAGTGGACATAGAGTTGTAGATTAAAAGTGGAGGTACTAGGTTGGAATGTCAGTATGAACAACAGTGGGATGTAGGTACATTCAAGTGACTTGCCTCCAGTAGGACAAAATTTACTTGATGGATTCCAGTGCATCATTTCTACTCGGTTTTGTATTCGTCGAAACTATTCAACATTACGGTTTTTGTAAATTATTACACTGTCTTAGATATTTTTGAGATCATTTAAAGATTTCAGCCTCTCTCATTGTACTAAACTAATGTTCAACACTAACAATATCATAGAGAAGACTAGAATTAGTTCATTAACATTCATAATGAATTTACTAGTTCTATGCAGTCTAAAATCTAGTTATTAAAAATATTCTTACGGATTAAAAAATGTATTATTCTGTTAGTGAATTTTCATTCTTTGAGCTAGATATTTTGGTTGTGGAGCTTTTATTGTTCTTCTGAATACTATCATCAGCACAATCTTCAGGTATATATATATATATAGACTATGGTTTTAAAACAATCGAAATCAACCCTTGAATAATTCTGATTTTTATTAGTGAAGTTTCATTTTTTGGGCTGGATATTTTGGTTGTGGAGCTTTTATTGTTCTTCTGAATACGATCATCAGCACAAACTTCAGGCATATATATATATATATATATATATATATATATATATATATGTAGGCTATGGTTTTAAAACAATCAAAATCAACCCTTGAATAATTCTAATTTTTAATAAGTTACTATTATTGAATACATTTTAAAAATTTCCATTAATTTATCGAATATAAGTAAATTAACTATATAAACATTGTGTTATAAAACCATTGAATTGAATACGGTCATATATGTCAAATATAAATATATACACACATTTACATCACCAAATATAAATTAGAAAAGTAAATTTATTTAATTCCTTAAGGACCTAATTATCATCATCATCATCATCATCAGAAAAGTGAATGTGATTTTCTGCTTAAACATATTCACATAAAGAATAATAGTGAAGTTATTTTTTTTCTTTGTCTTTTCTAGTTAAATTAGAATAGTTCACCATTCTACATTATTAGAACTGAGTGCATATAAATATATAAATAACGTGAAGAGAAAAAAAAGCCACAACCATTTTGGATAAAAACAAAAAATAAATAAACTTCCGAAGAAAAGAAAGAAAATTTCATATACATAGTAGTAGTAGTTCCCTTGATAATTTTTAAACTAAAATGTAAATAATCTAATAGATAATGGATAGTGAATGAAATGTTACTTTTTTTTACTTTAGATTTGCATAATTTACTACTAACAAGCAGCTTTTTTTTGACAAAAGTTTTATAGAAGAGAAATTAGTGCATCTCCTCTTACTGTTATCCATATAATTAGGTTCACAAAACTTCAGTCATGAGATGATCAATTTTTTTTATTTTGTAATTTATCCACTAAGTTTCACTTAATCAAGTAATTTCAATTCATATTATGTTGGTTAACTATTCATTGGCTTAATTTCAATTTTATTATTAGTAATCAAAATTTCATCTCTCTCTTATTTTAGCTGACTAATTCCCTTAATATTTGAATAAGCGTTAATCTTAACTGCTCTATTTAATTTAAGATTATTTGTTTACATCAGCTTCGTATGACTTTTTGTTCCATTTTAAACATCTACTTCAACTTCATGAACTTAAGTATATCAAACGATTGACTTTAATCATAGTATTCCAGAGACTTTCAACAGGAAAACATAATTACACATTTGAAATCATCAATCAATCATTGCTAGACGACCATTAGAAACCTGAAGGAAGCACTGGACGGCCGTTTCGTCCTGGTATGGGACTCATCAGTGTCAGTGCGCATCCACGAATCCTGCTCCTGGCAGGAATCGAACCTTGGACCTTCGGTATTATGCGCGAACGCCTAACCATTGATGATGTCAATTGTGTAAAAACACAAACCTCCAAAACTCTGCCCCAAAATATCGTAACAGTGCTCACTAGTGACTAGCTTCGTGAGGAAATTCTCGGATTTCTAGTTGAGAAGACGTGACCAATCGAGTTCAACCCTGTCGGCTGTAGGCAATAAGTACCAAAGACAAATGGGTGAGGTCACTCAAAATCCCTAGATCAATCAGAGTTAGACATTAACACCGTTGGATGCAGGCCCGGTGGTCCGATGGTTAGGCGTTCGCGCACAATACCGAAGGTCCTGGGTTCGAATCCTGCCAGGGGCAGGAGTCGTGGATGCGCACTGCTGATGAGTCCCATACCAAGACGAAATAGCTGTCTTTCATTGGTTCCAGGTTTCTAATGGTGGTCTAACAATGATTGATTGATGATTTCAAATGTGTAAAAACACAAACCTCAAAAACTCTGCCCCAAAATGTAGGAACATAATTATATACACTTAAATAAGTTTCACTTGTAATTGCTGAATAAAAATTTGTATAGTTTCCTAAAAAAGAAAGTGTACTAATTTTTGAAAACCAGTGTTATTGTAATGGATATTATTTTCCTTCTATATAAAGGAAAGAATATGTAAATACTGTATTATTATTCAGGATTTAGAACAATAACAATATGTAGAAAAATAATTACGGAAATCATTTTCATAAATGAGTACACAGAAATTATAATTCATATAATGAGAAATTTTAAAGAAGCACAAATGTGTATATAGATTGATTTTTATCTCCTTTTTATTCAGCAAGTTTTTATTAGTTTTTATATTGTAACAAAGTATTTTATTTAGTTAATTAACTTCACAGTTTTTCATATTGCATATACGCTACAATATTATGTTGTTTTTGTTATCGAAACTCTTATAAATCATTAATAAAAATGAGTGAATAGGGTATCGCTGTTTGGAGTTACTATGGTTCTTTTGATTAAAACAATGAAACTGAATAGTGAATATTGAATAGATGAGTTAATTTTTCAGGAATACTCAAGAGAAACTGATTCAAAGAAGCTAGATTTACATTATTAATTGATATCTATGATATTTTTCATATTGACATTTTTTAGTGAAATATACTTGAGCAGGAGCAGGTGATAATTTCCTTGTATGTTTTAATAACTAAATAGTCATTAAGTTTTGTTTAATGTCATGTTTGTTCAATTATTTAGTGTTAATCCACAAAGCTACAAGGCGCTTACAGGTTGAACATTGTGTTAACTATGTTGAGATGGCAAACGGTTGTAAGTGAATAGCAGAAAATCTTGAATCTCGGTTTCATGATAATTATTATTTGTTAGTAAGACATATCTGTAATCTTGATGGAACTGATGCTTTGAATGGGATTCAAACTGGAATCATTCAGCTTCTTCGTCTGGGTTATTACCACCGAGCTATTTTTCAGCAACTGTCATGATTAATCAATAACTAATATCTTAACCGACCTAACATAAGAAATAAATCTATTGTGTTTAAATATTTAAGATGATTACCAACATTGAAATTCAGATATAATCATTTTCCCAAGTGAACTCTAGTGCTAGTGACTATATATAGGTTTGATAAATAGTTAAGCGTATTTTTTTGAGTCGAAAGATTAATTTATAAATTGACATCAACTGGACTTCTATTGTAAATAAGGAAGATCTTAACAGATTTGTTGTATGTCAGGTATATTTGTTTACTTAAATAATTTTCTAACTCGGATTTCATTTCAGCATCTGACCTGATAATTTGTTTTTATCAAAACCTTTAAAAAGGTTACTTTGAATTTCCAGTAGCACACATGCAGTTCATAGTATTTCATTAAGTTTGTAGCATTTTATCAAAATCTATTAAGCTCCGAGTTAGACGGTAGGACCAATCGACACTGAACTTTAAAGAAGAGATGTTCATTTGCTTTTATCGCATGAGCCAACTTAAGACTCAATAAGTCAACATTGATCTCCATTATCGAACAACGTAATCTGATGTACACCAAGGCTTTTCATTTATATTTCGATAGCCTAAATTCATCATAGTCAATTAAGATCATTAATTTACTAAACATATAAAGAAAATAAGAACTAGTAAGATGGGATAAGTACTGCAGAGATTCTTTCCCGAATTTATTAAATATTCTCTTTATCTTCCTATATACAATGTAGTTTTGACCAAGTAACTGATTTGATTTTAAATCATTTTATTAATTTTCACTTTCTACATTACTTGTATTTATTCTGATTTTGAATTTCAAAACTGCAGTGAATTTATAAAGTGCTGCTATTAAACAGTTAGTTATTTCAGCATTCACAAATTCGTCTTACTGAGGATACTAAATTCATATATGGTTGTTCCAAATATTTGTTTGTGATTTTTAAGCTATGTGATAAACTAACTTTAATTAGAAAACCATTGAAAATAAAAAACCTCACTGGAAAGCTGTTTATGTATATTTTCAACTCATTAGTTATAAAGGCCTCGTAAGCTCTAGAACACTTAGCAGGATGACAGTACTTAATCGCTAAGTCGAAATTGATGTGGTTCATCGTTTCAACTCTAGTCAATTTGTGATTGTAAACTAATTATCTCATATTTACAGGTTTTCAATGGCATTTTTTTTCACAAAAATAAATAAAAATCAATACAAGATTGTAAGCTTTATGAAATCCAGATATCAAACCTTATATATGGTTAGAAAAAAAATGATAACTATAGGGGTTATGTAACTTTGATAATTTCCTAACCGGCTTAGGAAGCAAAACCGAAAATATTCGGTTAGACTACACGTATGCGATTAATGATAAAGGTCATCATATTCGGGATTAAAAATCACATAAATTCAATTTGAAATGGGTTGGAAAAAAATGCGCATCCTGGATTGTATTGTTAGCCGAATTCCATCTAATCTACATCAAATCATAAAAATGTTTATATTAGTTATAATTGCTTGTTAGGAGAAATTAAGTTTATTCATCTGGTTTATAGAGTAATGCGAACTTGTACATTGTTTGATAAACAAAAAAATTAGATTAGTCACTAATAAGTAATGTAAAGAATATTAGTAATGATAAAAGTACATTGGAAGGATTATATTAGCATTGATTTGATCTGACAAGGCGATAGGAAATCATTAGTTTGAATGTTAGGTAAAGGTTACAGAAAGATAAAGATACAAACTGACGATGTTGACGTGCAAACGGCTATTCAGAACGCTGTAACTAAATTTAAACTATTTCTACGCTTCTGAAACAGATTCTGTCAAACCTTGAAAGCTTTATTGTCAGTCTACAAATGTCGGTGAGTTTCGTGTTTTTCACAATCTTCTACATCATTTGAGCTAATACCGTTATTCTGATAGAATTAATTTTTTCTTAATTGGTCATGATGAATAGTGATAGTGAACACAGCTGATCGTACTGTTTCTGTGGAAGTAGATGAGTTTACAAATAATGGCATATCCTTTAGTTGTGCTGGTAGCACACAATGAGTGTTACATATGATTCTCAACATGTGGTTAAAGAAAGGAAATTGGTGATTGAACTAAAAGAAAAGACTGTCATGGTTGTATTAAACTTGTGTTTTTACGCTGTTACATTCTGGAAACGTTTACTTTGACAGATGTTAGAATGCCAATCCGATCACCAAATAAAAAAAATGCTTGTTGGTAAACATGTTCATGTACATATATATTGTGTAATAACACTTTTGTCTTTTGCTAAATGATAAAAATAAGGCCGGTTATGCATATATGCACTACAAAGGTCAGATCTATGGAGTGTATTAAAAATAATATTCAAGAATAATGCTTATTATACAGCTATTATTTATAATCTCTTATGACTGGAATTCCTTCAATGCTGAACAGATTTCTAATCATAATGGTAGATGTTTGTGGAGGGTGTTCATCATGGACTGAATTTAAGTTGGAAACCAGTGATAGCTAGGAAGTATTGGACAGCTGCTTTGTCCAGGTGTGTTCTTCCGAAGCTTTTCAGAAATGAGCACCTACAAGCCTAGCAAGATCAGATCAGATAGGTATACAAACTATTACTGATTATTTAGCTCAGAATTTTGATGGATCAAATAAAATTGTTTACGGTTGATAAAACATTTTAAGACGAGTACCATGCTACCAGCTGAACTTAGTATTAAGTAGCAGGTGGGTACGTCAGATTACGAAAGGATATGTAGAAAAATCATACCAGTTTATTTCAGCACTTAAGGATTTCAATACAAGCATGATGTTTGATTCTCAAGTACACTAATTCCAATTAAGAGAAACAGAACCTCGAAATTTTTTAAATAAACGATTTTGAATTTTACAGGAAGCTGGACTGGATCGAAAATATCTAAATTATAATAACTCTTTTGTCTACACCAATTTTACAAATCTGGGACTTTTAAATTCATGTTTTTTATCTAGTTACTGATAATTTTAATCAAGTTTTTCATATATTAAATCTTCAGTAAGTTATTGTTGGGTATTTTTGAAAGTGTACAAATATATGAAACGTAAATTAAAAGTTGATATCATTTTAAAAATGTTTGAAAAAAGTACCTTTTTATAACACGTGAATATAAAGCAGTGAAAGATGAACCCAATTGTTCTACTCCAAATTTTGATGGTTTGACATCACTCAGTGTTCGATTGAGACCTTCAGGTTGTGAACGTGAAGTATGATTAGTCAATAAATAATTAGTGCGTTCTTTCATTTCACATTTTTGATAATTTTCAATAAATACACCTAACCATGCAGCATGAAATGGCCAATGTGTTAAAAAGCATAACCATGTCACAAGTGTGTTTAATGAAGGTTCATTAGCAAAATAATGTAATGCATTTAAATATGATAGACTTTTTTGACCACTTTGATAAATAATACGTTGTGTAAATAATCGATCCAGTTTAATCATACGACCTAAACAAAAAAGTAAAGAAAGAGAATTTTCAATGAAAATATTTTTCAAGTAAAATAAGAGCCTTTATAACGCTCAACAAATAGTTATTTTAAAATGAACTTTCAGAGTGTTCCTGTGACATGCCAGGATTTATAAAGTTAACAAAGCTAAAAGTGAGCCATTTATCTATCAACAGTTAAGTATGATGAATGCTATTTATTGTAAAACGAATGTAATTGTTAAACACCTACACAATGTAAGTATCTGAGTAAACTAGAGTAGTTAATGTGACATGCACTTTAAAACGACATTCGTAAGTAGAAGTTAACTCTCCGCTATTGAATCACTACTTGTCATTCAATAATTCGTTAATTTTTTTCGTTGGTCAATCATTAGTTTATCGGTTTGGTGTAAAATGAATGGGGGGAACAAAAACATCAACATCAAGATTTGCAAACCAACAGTTCTATTGATGCATACCTATATCTATTTATAATTTCCTCAGAAATTTTATACTCTACTCATTTTGCTTTACGGGGTTGTGTAGATTGTCAAGTTAAACATTTTTGAAACCATGAGTCGATCAATGTTAGACCACCATTAGTAACATGGAAGCATTGGACGGCCGTTTCGTCCTGGTATTGGACTCATCAGCAGTGCACATCCACGACTCTTGCACCTCGCTGGATTCGAACCCAAGACCTTTTGTCTTGCGCGGGGACGCCTAACCTCTGGACCACTGAGCCGGTATCTAACGGCGTTTTTATCTAACAGATATCATATCATACACATACTGAAAAAAAACAAAGCTGAGTTAGAAAACCCACCTGTGAAAGCTGTCAGTGTCAAGAGATGACGAAATCTTTTCTTATTGAAATGTAATAAATCATGTTTACTTGTGAAGAGATCGACCAGTGATTTTGGCTGAGACATTTCAGTCTTAATCTCCTGCTAGATAAAAAAAAATGAAAAATAATATTCAGTGAGAAGTAAAAGTAATCATGACTACGTTAAGTCTTTATTATGGTCACCAATCAGATCAAGTTAGCTAATCTAGTACCTGAAGATGATGATAATCAGTTGTTCACTTTTTATACGTCAATGTCAGTAGCAAAGCAGTTTTTTCTGAATTCTAATTAAAATCATGTTTTAAAATCCATAGACCTGATGGAACTGTTAGCTGTGATTATAAAAATGAACGATACAATAATATAGGATATGAAGTATGTGATTACCGGAAAGCATTAATTTCATATCTTGTAGTATGATGCAGTGTCGTCTTTCCATCACATCACTCACATTGTTGACTATTCAGTTTTGTAAAGCTAATACACTGTCATTGTAAGCCATGATTTTGTACATGAAGTCAGTTTATATAAATGTTCTTTTTATGTTTATTTTTAAAATTAAGATAGGCTTCAGGTTCGAATGATCGTCAACATAAAAGAACTATCGGATATACGTCTACAATGTGGCTAACCAGAAAAAAGTTGAATAACTGTAAAGTTTGAAAATTGCGGAACTGGATTTAAATATAAAACTTATTAGACAAATCGTTATTTGAAAACTTACATGCGAATGTTGTATATTCGATGCTGAACGTGCAGGACTAATGAATGATTGTTCGTCAATTTGATCATTTACTCTGAAACAAAGTGGTTCATCTTCTACGTATATGGGTAAATGACACAACTGATGAATACAATACCAAATCTTAGGATTCGATTCTCTTGAAGAATTTTTCAAAGACAATCTCATAGCAGAAGCCATCCTGTGCATTTGGTTAGGATCATTCACATTAACTGAATCGAGGGTATGTATTTTCGTATCATTAGCATTGATACCTGAGACGTTAGCTGCAATAATCATAACAACATTAGGTACCCAGACTGTGGGTGGAACATCATTCATCACCTTTTCTGGAGCGCCAATCGGAGCAAGTATTAAGGGGACATCATAACTTTTACCGCCAGTTGGCGGCTTCATTAGAATATGGTCTAACAAATGCATGAAATCCAAAAGTTTCTTGTTAGTCACTGAACTTTCTACTGTCTCAGTGATTGCGTTCACACATATTATCAAACGAGTTTGTCGACCACCAATTCGACGGTCTAACATAGATAAAACTGAACAAGCATCTAATACATATTGCCGCAGAAGTTGTTCGTTTTTCTGACGTTCAATGGATATAGTCTTTCTGCGCTTGTTATTTCCTGCCGATTTTGAATACTCTTTATTTTGGCGGGCACCTGAGAGATTTTTATTGTTAAATCTTCCACGATTTGAGTTTGGAATGTTTCGGCCATTTAGTAAAAGTTCTCCGGAATCAAATAAAGGTTCATCCATTGGAGAACTTTCCTCATCTTCAATAGTACTGTGTTCATCTGAATCAGATTGCTTTGATTCTTCACTGGAATCGTCATCATCATGATTGCTAGAATTAGTATCTGTTTTTGGATTAATTCCATTTAGATTACCCTGCAAATCAAGTTCATCTTTAAACTTGTATTGACCACGTTCGTACACTTGCCGTGGCTGGTAATGATGACCGGTATTTTTAACGTTTTCCATTTGTCTCCAATGACGATCAGCTGCTGTAACAGCAGCAGCTGCAGCCGCTGCAACCATAGATGCAGTTGATGTTAACTTATTTTTACCGCCTAAAAATTGCCGTGTATCGTTATTGTAGTATTCCCCTAGAAAGCGGAGATAAAAAAAGTAAGAATATCAGCTTTCATATTACTTATGGGACACAAAATATATGAATAATGACAAAGTACTTTCTGAAAAATATAATAGAGAGATAGAAGAAATATCGTAAGGGGCTAATATGAATTCAGTTATTTTGTAGATTCTCCTACGATTTCAGGCTTTATGCGGTCCCGGAGAATCTATAAAATAAATGAATTCATGTGTTCTTGTTCGTTCATTCTTCAGTGAAGTATATAAATAGGAAAAGTTTTATAAAATAAATAGTAAGCATTTATTGTATAGTTGTTAAATAATGCAATAAAGATTCAACAGTCGGCTGGGTAAGAAGAAGGGATAACATTAGAGATTATTGTAAAAAATTCACTGTAAATATTGTATTCTGACATTATTTCTGATTAGACAGTTTGGTGAGATTCATCTTAAAATAGTTTAATTGAAGTTTCTGTCATAGAAAATAATATTAAATTGATAATGTCATCGTGGAAAGAATATCAGTTTTATTTAATAATTAAAACTGATAGTCGGTTGTGTGAATTTTTAAAAATTAATAATTTGAACTTATGTATGACTAAAAATTAATTAAATATCTTTTAGAAGTTGATAACTAACATAAGTATTTACTGAAATCTTTTATTTATAGACTTAACATTCAGTTGTTGGCATACATTTGTAAGGTTTTGCAAATGAGTACTCATGAACGTACTAGAAAAACTTATCTTTCTAAATAGTTGAGATTTTCAGTGAAGTGAAACTATCATGAACTTTAAAGAAATAAAAGTTAATCCTTTCTCTTCTCATTTCAAGTGATTTGTTAGAGTAGATCAAACGCCTGATATGAACCCATCCAAAACTGTTACCTTTCTGATAGATTATTGTAGTGTCTACCATAATGTCAAACATACACGGCCTGTTCTGATTTTCGGACGAACCAATTTATTTATTCCACACGACTCATTATTTATTCATATTTTGATTCTGTTAATTATTCGCTTATAATTTCAGGTGTTGTTATTCGACCGTGTGTGTGTGTGGGTGCCTGTGATTCGTTTACTTTGCTGATCACATATGTTGGTTATTTTTGTCTGACTATAAATACTTAGCCATGCCTCATAACATAAAGTTGCTACGCTAGTCTTCTCCGATTCTCTTTGTCTTGATTTAACGCTTTTCATTATTGTCTGTCTGCTTATACGAATGTATGAGACAAATTCAATCAAATAAAACAACAATGGCTTGTTCTTTCTGCTGTCTCACAAACGGAGTTCACCTCAGGGTAATAAATGGAAATGAAGTAGGAGATTTGTTTCATTTGCATAATTAATCACTCGTCCGAAATAGAATTAGAACCTGGGAAACTAAACTGTATTCAATATAGTATTGAATAAATTATTGTTTTCTTTTTCTGCCTGGTCAAAGTGAAACAAGTCTGAATCTTGCCATTTTGTAATTCAATGAATTATGGGCATTCATTTGATGCACAAGTGCTTATGCAGATGGAAACCCTTTAACTATATATATAATTCACTGATCATTGTCTAATGACAATTCGGTCATTTTTTGACGAGCTTGTATATAAAATTATTTAGGAGTATAGTAAATCATTTATACAGTTAGTTGTAGATTTACAGACGATGTAGAATGAAAATGAATAGCATTCAACTTAAATAGCTACTTTCTCGAAAATTCTCTAACCTTAAGGTAGAAGAGCTGAAGAATGTTGAAATATCTACTAGTTTTGTAGAATAAGTATACTTTGTTCAGTTAAAGATTCTTGTTTTAGAATACCATTTTGCTTGATGGCTAGTAAAGAATACATAATTACCAGTATTATTACGAGGGTCTAGGGGTTATGGATTAGCTCGTTACACCAAAAGTTTTGAGATCGATTGCCTGACAAGAGGTCGTGGATGTGCACTGCTGAGAAGTCCTAAACCATCCAGTTATTTCAGGCTTTTAATTGTAGTTTAGCTAAGAATTAAACTAGGATAATTTTACAGTCTCTGAAAATTCCTCCACATTATCAAGGCTAGTACTACAATAACGTTTGCTATTATGATCTTAAAATAGATATACTCAAAGTTCACTTAATGACAATATCAAGTTTAATCTGAAAATGTTTAGTATTGAATTTGATCGTATTAATACAACTAGATGTAGTGATGATAATAGGCATTAAATTCCGACTACGTATTTTCGGGTATAAAAACTAAGCTCGATTCCCTGAAAAATGCCTTTTTGCTGATCATTATATCAGAATCTAGTTTCTTATTTGTGAATAATGCAGTGATAAAGCAGTAATTTACAAGTTATGTCAAACATAAACAAACACTACTCCAAAAGTGTTAATTGACATTACAATGTTTATTAAAGATGACATGGTTTACTTTAAGTTAAAATTATATGCACATTCATTGCTTAACAAATGAAAATTAATATTTCGGAACAAGAAAAAAATGTAATGGAGTTGTTTCACTGCTTGTGAAATATTGTTTGTAAGACTTAACTATTATATCAGAAATTAATTCGCTGATTTGTAGACATTTATTGTCACAAAGTAGTTTTAACAATTAGTAATTTGATGATTGTACGCGACTGAAGACTAAAGTAAACTGTTTACAAACAAAGAAGGGGTTGAGTTTTAGAATTAGTCTTACGTAACTATGATTATGTTTAGTTATTTGTTATTAGTTAGTCTGTAGACTTACGAAACAAGTTTGTCTTTTGAATAAAATTATTATAGTTTGAATTATTTGTTTGATAGATAATCCATTCAATGTTCAATGTGTATTTTTCCCCAATAACCTACTGTCATTTAGATCTTTCTTATTATCCTCATACACCATATATTTAAAGAGATTTTCTAATGATTCATTCCTCCACTGTGTTCTAAGTCTTGTTTTAATAGATTTAAGAATAGTTATTGTGAATTTTTACTGCAGTAAAGAAATAGAAAAAAATTAATGGTGGTTTATTGACTTCTAATGATTTTTTATGGGTAGACTAATAAGATAGTGTAAACACAATTTGCTTATACTGAACTAGATTTGAAACATGTAAACTAATTTCATATGATGAGGAAAAAAAAGCGATGGGAATAATCCTACAAAAAACTATTATTCTATTCAGTTTTCTATTCTTAATATTAACTTTAGATGAACTGCAGGGGTAGTTTTATGCTTCAAGATATTTATTTGTTATTTATGGTAGACATACTGCATACTACTGAAATTCGACACAAGACATAGACAGAATCAGACAGTCAAAAGTATGATAGAATTTAATATTACCAAAGGTTGAACGTCAATTTTAAAGTTAATGTCATTCATAGAGTAAAGGAGAGAGAGATAGAATAGATTTTTTTCAAAAATCACAAATTTCTTATTTTCATTTTCTTGATTGATAGATAGATATGTTTTAATTATAGATAGTGAATGCATAAACATCTAAGATATCGAAGTTAATCTATAATTCACTTATTGAAAAAGAATATTTTCTTTTAAAAAAAATATTAATAAATTAAATTTGTTTATGAATCTAGGAGACGTTTTCTTCCAATCTGTCTATCAGATTATTAAAATTCACTGATGTAATTCAAATTTATTTCTGTCTCGTCTATTCCCTTTTCAAATATTTTCAGAACAGGTTTGTAAATTAATTGTTCCATAAGTTGATCATGGAGCAATTTGTATTTCTTAATAATAGCATTAAATAAAATAAGCTAATTTATATATACTATGTGGGAATTATTATTCGGTTGACTTCTTCAAAATGAAGCGCCACTACTTCATACTTTCAATTAACGATACATTCGATAAAGTGTAATTTATGCAAAACTTACCATGTGCTAAACACGTTGTATCATGTTCCATACCACATTGACCAGTTTCAATACAATTAGGAAAAGGATAAGCTTTACGAATACCACTACCATAACAACTATCCATTGTTATATCAGTGTAACTTTCTAAATCAGGATAGAATGGTTTTTTGATAGGATGTTGAAATGGTCGACCTCTTATTAATTTTAATATACCTGGTGTAATTGCAGCAATCAGGATTAGAAAACTTAAACCAGATATGACAGCACAAACAATAATGAATACTTGTAAGTTTTCTGTTAAAGTATTTACATCACCATCAATTTTTGGGATTGGATTACTTGTACCATCTTTGTTTTCAGTTGATAAAAATGAATTATCAAGTGCAATTAATGTGGCCATAGTGAGTAAAGTGATGACATTGACAAATACCCATATACATGATGGAAGACAGCAAACTTTACGGTACGTTTTTGTTGAATCACCTGAAATTAACAATAATGTTTAAATTAATGTATGATAGATTTGTTAGGTCTTAATAGAATAAGTAAATATCTGTTATAACTATATATCGTTATATAATAACTAAATGTTGTTTATAAAATCATGGGTTAATGTTGTCCCTGAACTGAATGATTTAAATGAGACAAGCGTTTGAGAAGTTTAATTTAAGATTGTAATGACATTTTTAAATCGTTACACGAATACTGCCTTATAATACTTCAGGTTTTTGCTGACTTTTGATCACTGTGAAAGTCTTCAACGTCTACTGGATGCATAAAGAATAGCAGAGACTGGTCAGTTATGATCCCGAGTATCAAAAACCAGCTCTTACTAATGCTTTTATACTCATCGAATGTAGCAGAGAGTACCTGAAATCAGTAGTTTAGCGAACAATGCGTTAAAGGTTTGAGTTGAAAGACATTAGATTTGAGTCTGGGTAAGAAAATCAGCACTAAGTTGCCGGTACATTTAGCTAAACGCTTAATATATAACCAAATCAATGTCTGTGGTCATTAAACAACTGATTATACGATCTTGCATTAGATTTAACGGTGCTAACTGAAGGTGGTATACTCCCTAAAGAGTTGGATATAATCTGTTAAAAATATGAAATTATTGTACACATTTTGTTTTTCTGTAATGAACATGGAGTAATTTGAAGCTTAACTAATGTTAAAACATACATCTATCATCATTTATTCTTTCTCAAATGTCGTAAATTGTGTCTAAAGGTAGTTACCAAACCCTTTATTCAGAACATTGACTAATATTATTTGCAAAGATTCGTATTATCCTATGGTTTATCTGTGGAACTGCAATTAATCAAGCGATATCAGCATAGGTGCATCACGATCAGCCACCTGACGCTTTCTTGCAATCAAAAGTATTTGGCATCTTCGTGATGTGAATAGAAAAGAAATCCTGAAGGTCCACCTCGTTTATCTCATGCTTCAATAATTGGAGTGCAGTTTTACTCAGCTTAAACTCATTTCATGAATTTCACTGTTAATCATAACTCAGTTTGCTGAAAACTGCATCGAGATTTTAAGAAATCCCTGAACTGAACATGTACGTGTTTATGGTTTTTAATTATCTTTATCTGTGTGTTCATCATTAGCCAATCTTCAATATTATTCTTCTAATGTGATTCTAAATTAAATAAGCACAGATATTAGTGGTGGAAGTTTTACTATGGTCTTTGTTAATATATCCTTAGACTAGATTTAAAAAGTATAATGAATTTTATACAGACGAAATTCAAATGCGTCTACATAAAGAAAAAAACAATAACAAATTTGAGCTTTTTCAGATGCAAGTAAAGAATATAACATAAATATTCACTTATTAGTTTCAATTTTGACAGGCTGGAAAATTTATATTAGTTAAATCAGGCTCTGTACTAATTTTCTAACTTCGGTTATTGTCAGCTTTAAATACGAGTCTTTTGTTTTATGCCTAATTAAAGTAATGCCTTAATGTTTCTGTTCCTAATTATTGTTTGTAAAGTGTGATGCTTTTGATTAAAAAGGATGATCTAGTTAACCGATTAGTTGCTAGTTCATTCCAATAACAACTAGATCAAAATTACGCTAGATGTTTCTTCAAAACTAGTATACCTTTTTTAAATGGTCAGTATATCTAATGTTTGTTCATTTTTCTATTCCCTAGTTTTCCACTAGTTTATTGTATCAATTCCAGGCAAATTGTTTGTACATTTGTGGTTAACTCATTACCACTCATTTAAGTAATTAATTACTGATAACATGATGTAAGCTAACAGTTATGCTATACAAATTAACTGCTGATAGTTTACCACCTGAGAGAATTAATTAGGACGGATACAACAATATTTTAGACCAAATAATTACGTCATGATGCATTTAAAATCATTTGAAGTATTCAGAATGGGTAAAAGTTGTTTACTTACCATATACATCTCTACTTGCCCATTGTAACCTTACTGGCAAACGACCATATTTTTGTTCAATAAAAATCCAAATTTTTTCAGCTAAATGTACTGCTGCCTCTGTACTGGTAGAGAAGTTGGACAAATTTATACTGATTGGTAGTAATCTAGTAAAAAAAGTCGTATGAAAATAAATAAATATTTGTGAGACATATTTAATTTAGAAAACTTCCGTACTGTCGAAAGCGTTCTATGAAAAATGAATATTCTAGGAAACTTATTATGAAACAATAGAAACCACATCCTGAAAATCATTAATACTCAATCATAATGAGATAAAGTATCTCCAATCGTCTTACGATCAAGTGATGTAAGATGATTTGAAGAAGAAGTAAGCAGTTTTCAATTTGTGAAAAAATCCTATATCATCTTAATTTTATTGAATGAGATACCGCTACTGCTCAAAATCGAGCGGAGGAGAGGTAAAAAAGGATCTATATTCCACTTAAGTTTACTTAATTATATTCCTCTTTCTGTTCATTAATATTGTCAGAACGGAATCAATATCTTTTAAAAGTTTCTTCTAGTTATGTTTCATTGAAATCATGAATCAATCAATGTAAGTCAATGATACTTATGTTTACGTTGACACATATATGTAAGAAGGCAAAAGTAAGGGATTGGCACTGGGTTTACTACAAATGTATTCGTAAAACATATCTTAGTAGATAGCGAAGATCATACTGATATGTGAGAAGAAATCATCAACAAAAGATAAATGATTATTTATTCCGTATTACAGAGACAGTCTCTATCTGCTCACCCGTTAATTTGATCTTTAGTTTACCAATTAGTTAGGCGACGAATTAATACCTTTTTTTATTATGATTGCGTGATCCTCTTCAATTACGTGAGGCTTCTTAGTGATTAGAACTTCGTCTTCTATATTTTGTGAATTTTCAACAGTTGAACAGTCATAAAACTTAATTACTTATTCGAATATAAAATTTAGCAGTTTATTGCTTTTATTATAATTTTTGAATCTCAAATGTTCATTTAAACTTTGTTGGCTTAAATATCACCTAATATTTTCACCAGAGTTAAAAGTTTTTATGAATAACATAAAAATTGAACAAACTATACAGTTTCGCCTTGTTTCACAAATCATATAAACCTCGCTAGATATTGTTACTAAACAGATCTCTATTAGATATCTAGTCAGTTCATCAGAATGTATGATTAAACTCTTTTAGTGAAATAAGGTATTAAATGTTTCTTGAGTATACTTGCATAACATGTTCTAAATACTTTGGTAATAGTACTATAGCTGCACCAAGACATATTTCAGTTAGCAAATAGAAAGGTATGAGAAAATGTTGCATATTCTATTCGAGGATGCAATGGACACGTAGATGTGAAAATTCCAGAAATGTGTTCTTATGTATGAACAAATCAGCAAGTGAAAGAAACACATTCTATGTTGAAAGCATTAGATATTAATTGGAAGTTTATCCGACTAATAAGTAATCAGTTTTCGATAATAACTGAGTGTAATTGCATAAACATGATTGCGGTTATACAGGAAAAGTTCTAGGAACTGTGTCAAGACATCTGGAAAAATTACAGAGATTTTTAACCAGTGTAATAATGGCATTAAATCATATATAACACCGTGAATAACAAAAACACAGACAAAACAAGCCTTTACACAGATCGGTATCATGACAAACGGTATGCAAATAACATTGAAGTAACTTAACTTTTAAGAATAGAAAGGAGTAAAGATTTAAATTTTGCATTGCATTCCATACGACTGAAATTCAAACGTAACACTAGAATATTTTTAGAAACTAATTAACTAAGAATTGAATCCAATGTCTAAAAAGTGCCATGAATTTGCATAGCCAGGTTACTCCTCAATTTAAAGCTGAAAGAAAATTTCCGAGAAAATAATAATGTTATTTGACAATCGTCTCTTTCCCTAGATGATAATTATTTTGGAAAAACACAGATTATCCCAGATCACTACCGTTCAGTTTGTATTTGTTAAAAATTCCATACCTTTTTTTTTATTATTCTGACTTGAGACTTTGAGACAAACGTCTAAAAGCTATTTATTTATAAATCTGGACTGTGAAATATCCCTTGAGATTTGTATGATCAAAATTGATAACTATAAACAAAGCTAAAGAGGATTAAGGTTACGTTTATGTGCAAAACTGTATATTCAGTTTGAAATTTTTGAGAAACTGTATTGTTTTTAAAAATTTTTGTTGATTATTTGCAAACCATATTCATTTTCCTTTTGTAAATAAAAGAAACACTGGATATTTTTGCATTATTTACTTTCAGATCTGTCACGAAGCTAAAAAATGTCTCAGGTTTAAAACACCACGGTACACATATGGGTTTCTGAGACCGTTTTCAACGCTTTATTCGTCCATCGAAAACAATTTAGTTAAAAATTAAGATTCATTCAACTTACCGTACAGGTTGAGCAACACGTGGGGCTTGTGGTGAACGATAAAATAGTATATTAAATAATAGATTACATCCTCTCATATAACGTGATATTGTTTCAGCTAATTCAATGGTTTTTGACCAATGTTTAATTCGAACGCCGAATATAATTATACCTAAATAATAAAGATTACAAATAGTTGTTTACAGTCATTGGTGAAATGAATTAACAACGAAGTAGACGTTATAGTTAATGTTTTAATAGTTGTACAATATAAATGATGTTAGCAAAAACCTGCCTCTCAGTATAAATCGTTTGATTAAGCTATTAAATGATCCAGTTTAAGTACCTTGAAATGAAATATTATAACTTTGTCTTTAAAAGTTTACAATTTGTTTGAATATTTTATCTTAGGTTTCGTAATATCATAAGTATTGTACATTTTGATACGTGTTTCCGTTCATAAATTAAAGTAAATAGTATGTATACCATACATTTTCTATCTGCTATATCCTTTTCAATGTCCTAAACAATCTAACTCATTCACATCTGAAGAAGCTGGTTGACTTTTAAGATCACTTCTTGTTTAAATTACTAAGCATGGCTTCATCAGTCTTATTTATAGATATGCAAAAAATTACATCGGATCCGTTGAAATAGATTTTAGGAAATGTACCTAACATCTTTAATTTTTGATCAAAAAACATTTAGTAACACTAAAAGCAATAAATTATTATCAAGGTAATTATTATACATGTTTCGAAGAGTTATACATGGACCAGCTAGGTACAACACACCAAACAACAGTATACAAGAGATGAAATTCCATTAAAATTACAAGTGAAATAATCCTATTTAGTTTGTAATCAATAAATCTAGGCATTGTGATATTGATCAGAAGCGAGTTTTTCTAAATAACACTATAGATATTTTTTTACTTTCGTTTACTTGAACATGGTTAAAATCATGGAATAAGCTACCCTAAAAATTTCACAAAAAATCTGAGTAAGAATTGGTAATTCGAATGTTTGAATAATAATCTATGATATTTCATTTCAGGATAAGTTTATTGATTATTCTTAAGTTCAATATATTTTAATCCAAATTACCAACCTCAAAGCATAGATTTTGATAGTTTATTCAGTGTTGTAAGGAAAAAAGCTGAACAGTATTCAAATGAAAACAAAATTCTAAGCTGTACATATGTAACAACAGATGCCATAGTCAAGAGAAATAGCCTCTTTTTTCTGTATTAGACAACAACTTAGGTAGAAAATATTGTCATTCAAAAATGAAAATGTATATTTCCATGAAATTATAACAATAATAATATACGAAATAGCTGGTAATGTTATCTAACTATCACGCAATTGTAATTCTCAAGATAAAGGTGTAGAATATTTTTCATAAAAGAAAATTAAACAATCATTCGTATAGAATTTCAAATAACTTGTTCAGTCATATTTAAAAATGACTCATTAAAGCTACTTTTGTTTTGTTTTACAGCATATTATCCTGATGAGAAAACCAAACAATTGCGATTGCGTTTCGTTCTCTGAGCTGGATGTTTTGGTTGTTGAGCTTTCATTGTTCTGCTGAACAACATCACCAGTACAAACTTCAGATAGAAGTGAAGTATTCGAATTTCTCCACGTTTCAGCCATAGTTTGTTCTGTTAACTTCGATCTTGATTGATTATTGTTGACCTTAAACCTGTCGTTGTTTGCAACTTTGTTTTGATTGTATCCCCCTTTTGATCTGTTTCTTGATCCTATGTCACCTAGTATTGTTCTGATTGGTTGATAAATTGGGTCAATGTCGATGTGTTTATTGATTGCTGATTGACATGAGTGTCAAGTTTCTAAAAATTCTCCAGTGTTCTTTGCCCTCCTCCTATACAGTATTTCACAATCTGAGCAATTTATTTTGTAGATGATATTTGGTTCTTCTTCCTTTGTTATTTTGTTCTTCGATCTACGTAGGATTGATTGAAGTGATTCAGCTGGTTTGTGTGCTACACCTATTCCAAATGGTCTCAGTAGTCGTGCTGTAATTTCCAATATGATAGGATGATCCGTTTATTGGTTCCTGTACTTGATTTCGCTTCTGTTGAAGATTTCGATTGATGTTTTTTGATGAATTTAAGTGGAGAACCGTTCTTTTGGAAGATGGTCATCAGATAATTTTCCCCTTCGCTCTATTGAATAACGTTTGTATGCGGTTGATTTTGTAAGTTCTTGGGTTGTTGCTAGTGTAGTTGAGAATTAGGTGTGTGTGTGTTGGCTTCCGAAATACTTGAGTATCCATTTTTCCTGTGTCAGTTCTGGTGTTTAGTACATCCGAAAATGATAGGCTGCAGTTTGATTCCTTTTCCATCTTGAATTTTATGTCATCAACGGCATAAAATTCCCTTTATTCAATCCAAGATATTGAAATAACTGCTTGTGATAAATTTACACATAACTCGAGTAACAGTTCTTTGTCGATTGTTAATTGTTATTATTGATAAAAATTAGCCATACATTTCAGAATATCAAAAATGCAAACGTTTCCTAACATCATTAATAGGAGGGCGTCAACAAATAAGACAGTTCATTATTTTCTCATTTTCAAAACAAACTGTTAATATAAATTTTATTTTTGTATTTTAGATATCAATGACTTGACTTTCAAAAATTAGATGTTAAAAACAAATTGTAAGTAAAAACTATGATTTGACTAGGTTTATCGCTGTTTAAAAAAATTGATCAGTGCAATTTAACTATTTTCAAAACTTTAACACAGTACCATAAACTGATTGGATAATTCGACGAAATCTATGCGACATTTTTTCTCATCTATTTAAATAATGATATTTATTTATCAAAGATTAAATAGCTCATTTATTATTATTATTGGAATTTGAAAAGTCACTTTAAACAAACAAAAAACCCCTTTTATTATGACTGTTGTTTTTTTGTTTTGGTATAATTATATATAACTTGAAAATAAAACACTTCAACTTAGAAAGAAACTAAAGTAGAACTAATATACACAAAGTCTCGGTTAAATTTTCCAATTTTCAAATCTATTCGTCTGGATATCAATGATATACTGAGTGCATTTTTTTTCTACAAAAAAATTTAATGGCTTTTCTATGTTTTTTTTTTTTAAATTTACAATTGGGTTATTACAAATGGAAGTCAACCTAAACACCTTATTAAAATTTCAATACAATGTATATATTTTTTATGTGCCTATTTGAATAGTTGTTATTTTGTTTGTGACTATGTATGTAATTTGACATTTTACAATTCTTTTTTTTCTAAAAATATTGTTATCTTAGGTCTCGTAATATCATCAAGTGTTGTACATTTTGGTATGTGTTAGATAAAAAGTCTGAATCAATAATCATGTTTAGGATGATACATTAACTCTTGTTGCTTAGTATAATTAGAACAACACATATAGGTGAACAACAGTGTTGTTTTCGATTAGATCGTCATCAGGTTTTACTCTAATATACATGAATATTTACATGAAAATGTTAAACCAATCAAGGCAATTTGAGTGATAATCACAATGAAATGAACAAAGACAAAAGTACAAGTGGATAGTAGGAAGATAGGTGGTGAACCGATAGTAGTAGGAAGTTTTATAAAATATGGTAACTAAAGTAGGTCAAAGGTGGATGAATAGAATTCAAATAATCATCAAAAAACATCAAAAACATTACGTAATAAGCAAATGTTTAAAAATAAAAATAAAATAAAAAATATAATGTCCATCGTTAGTTACGTCATATCCGGCCACGGAAGAGATAGGGGTGTCACGAATTTCTTCTGAACACATAAATTAGGGTTGAATGTACGTATTTCTATGGCAATGTGTAGGAGACGGGATCGAACTCCGTTGGGAAATGATGGAGGTATATGATAGATCGCCCGAAAAGATCTAGACTTATCTACAATGTGACCACTATCAACCAGGTGTGCTAAGATAGAACTGTGTATTATTTTTGACTGACCCTTCTTAAACCATGCTGGGAGATGTTCACTCATTCGTTGTGTAAGTTGCCTGGAAGTAGTCCCGATATAGCTATCTCCACAGGAGCAGCTGAATTTGTAAATGCACATAGAGGAGGCCAACTCAGGTAAATTACCCTTCGTTTGAGTAGACATCGCTTTTACTATCGGTTCACCTGTCTTCCTACTATCCACTTGTACTTTTGTCTTTGTTCATTTCATTGTGATTATCACTCAAATTGCCTTGATTGGTTTAACATTTTCATATGAAATATTCATGTACATTAGAGTAAAGCTTGATGACGATCTAATCAAAAACAACACTATTGTTCACTCATATGTGTTGTTCTAATTTTCACAATGGGAATCTTTAATATTCTTAGTATAAGTTAGTTTTTTTTCTCTACAATTTTTTCTTTAAATGATTACTTTAAAATTCAATGACCAATTTATTTATTCAACGTATTAAAGGTTGAACATGAAACAATTGGAGAGAAGTAAGCTGAATTGGGTTTAGAAAAAAAAGGCCTACGATTTTTGATTTATTGAAACAACTCCTGGAAAAATACACAACTAGATATGTGTGAATTTATCAGCGTGCAATAATTAAAAAATAGGAATTTAGTAGGTTTTTAACTAGTTTTTATTGATCCAGTCTAAAACATTAGTTATATGAATAAATAAATATTTGGATCCACTTAGTATATCCAACATGTTCTGGTTGAAGGTTGAAGTTTTTATAAGTGAACAGTAGATTATCTAATCAGTATTCCAGTTGTACGCACTTATAACCCTCATTTCAAGCTACCTGGAATTTTGTTTATTTAGAGAGGGATTACCCTGAATGGCAGACTTAACCAATGAAATATATAAATTTGGCAATAAAAATTATAAACAAACATCTATATGAAGGTGGCTGCTTATGATAAACGATAAGAAATATGAAGTAGAATTCGAAAAATAACAATCACAGTTCTTTCAAACCCTATTGCTGAACATTTAAGGAATAATGCAAAATATTCTTAAAAACTTGATTAACCTAGTTTTCCATCTTTCCATGTATGAACGAATAATCAGTGACGATGAATTTCGTCACCAAGGTACATTACAATCGCTTTTCCTGAATCATGAAGCTAAAATTGATTAAATATCTGTACGTGTTTTGAAGATTGGTTGGTTACTTAAGAGATAAGAAATTATCTGTCAAATCTTTGTTACTTAATTAGATTTGAAGTTGCTACCCATTATGGGTGGACGTTTTCCGTTATACATGAAATACAGCTTGAAAACAACACTTTACAGTAAAAGTTAGAATATTTGAATTTACACTGTTGTAAGTTAAGTGATTTGTTATGTAATTTAATTATTGTTTATTAATATTGAATATCATTCTACCGTACTACTTGATCACAGTATACGTAGTATAAAACCTATAAACTGCATCTGACAAACAGAATTATTCATCACATTGATACTTTTCAGTAAATTTGAATTAACAATCAAGTCTCTAAGACAAATAACAAATACTTGTCGATCTTACATGTTTTATTTCAGATTATTCATACATGTGAATAATAAGCTTTAAATTGCTGAAGCTTCATTAAAACAAAATGCTTTATTATCTAAGATATGTTCTATGAATAGATAAAATCTTTCTAAGTGTATATCTAGGTATGTCATTGCATAAATCCATGAAGTCACTGACAGCTGGACTGAGTCATGTTAGTAAGTGTAGACTACCGGGTTGTGGTCCACGAGATGATAGTAATCGATGGTTAGAGACGTTGAATGACATGGCTCAAAATCGTTTGCAATGGCGCAGGTGCATTCATTCTTTGTTTTCTCTCTAGTTTGAATCTTCTGAATTCCTCAACACTTTTATCTTTCATTTTTTTTTAATTTTTCCGCTGGATTATACTTCTTGAGTATTATCTTTGAACCCTGATCTCTCCGATTACTGCTAATAATTCTAGTGCCTCTACTACTATAGGATTTGAATTGACAATCGCTTCTCTGTACTAATGTGGTTTGGCAACATGGACTGATGTACGTGCGTACGAAGTTCTACATTGTTACTGACTAACTGACTGTATGTATGTCACTAAAATTGATTAACGTCTCTCATCAAATAAAAAAAACAATGACAACAACATTTAAATATTCTAAGCGATCTTTTAATACTTGGTAAAAAAATATTCTACGCTGCAGATGTTATGCATATCATAGTATTCTTGTGCTTCAAAATCATTATCATGTTATTTTAATCAATTTTTATAGTGATCAAACACCTAGTTATTAAATCCCGTCATCCAAAACTTACCAAAAAATAATGCATAAAACAACGTGGCTGTAACAGCTACAGCAAAACCTAATTGCCATCCCAATGATAAACCCAATATATATCCTAATATACTAATAATTATAAGTGGTAGAATTCCTGGCCAAAATTCAAATCCAATTTGTGCTTGATCGTAATAATATGGATTTGATTGTTTCAAATAAACTAATTCCTCTAAAAATGTAAATTAGGAAAAAAAGTAAATGAAACATTATCAACTCATTGGATTAGATAGATTTAAAAAAAATTTAAAAGAACAATTTATTTTCACACTAAGAGATAAATTTACTGAATACTATTAATCAGTAGATAATGTTTTTTGGATTCGCTCTGGTGTGCAGTTTACCCAGGTTGAAAACACACAGTTTGATGAATCATTAGATTTACAGTTTTTCGATTAGAGTTATGGAGATTAGTGTTTGTTGCCGATTGAAATCATCAATCAATAATTAATAGACCATCATTTAAAAACCTAGGAGCCCTGGACGGCCGTTTTGTCCTGGTATGGGTCTGATCAGTAATGCGCATCCATCCAGTGCTTTCAGGTTTCTAATGGTGGTCTAACAATGATTGATTGATGATTTCAATTTACAATTTTATTTAAACGGAATTAGTTTTTCTTCCTAAATTTATCTTTAGAAGCTTTATGTACCGACAATTCATAACACAATACGAATCGACAACATTTTATGGCTTTAATCAATACTGAATTAAAGCTCTTCGATCATGTTGTGTAATAGACTAGCTGTTGAATATATACATAAACAATATAGTTCATTTATTGATGTTGTTAGAGACCCTGAACGACATGGTTCAAAACCGTTTGTAATGGCGCAGGTGCATTCATTCTTTATGTTCTGTCGAATCCTAACCTTCTGAATTCCTCATTACCTTTATCTTTTTCTCTTTAAGTTCATTTCACTAGATTCTACTTCTTGAATAATATCGTCGAACCCTAATCTCTACGATTACTGCTAATAACTTTACTACATCTGCTAGTATGGGATTTGAATTGACAATTACATCTCTGTGCTAATGTGGTATGGCAACTTGAACCGATGTACGTAAGTATGAAGTTGATTGATTGGTTAATTTTAATGTTCTAAGTTGAATATGAAAGTTATATATTTTGAAACTGCTTGAGTTGTGAAATTTAAACATGCCCAAACAGGACATTAACATTCCGGATTTGAGTGATGTTAAAGTGAAACATCGAAAAAATCGATCAGCGTTTATCGCCTTGTCCATTATTTCAAGAAAAAAATTCTAGTCAAGTTACTTATTTCGTCCTAATCGATATTATTCACTAATATAATTCATCGATTTTATCTTTAAACTAAGTGAATTGATAAAAGCAAGAATTTTCAGAAGTACGTTAGGTAGATGATTTAGCTTATTTTAATATTATTTGATATAAACAATTTGATTTATTCATATTTATTAAAAGTATACATGCATCAACAGTTAGCAAAAGCAAGATGAGTAGTAGTTGTTGAATATTTCTGTATGATAACACATTCATGTTAACATTATGAAAATGGTTCAGTTTGAGGTTGGAATTATTTGATTTTGAATTGACATACATTTTTGCGTATGATTAAAAAACAAGAAACTAAGAAAAAAACATGGTCTAAGGCTTTATTTTCATGCTGGGGATTTATCATCAATGTGTACTGATTATCTAATAAGAAAAACTGAATTCTTTTAATAATTAACTATTGAACTACTGAATTAGGATTCAGTGATTCATGCTGAAAAGTTCACAATTTTTATTTTGTAATATCCAGTTAACACTTCCATTTCGTTTGCAATATACATTTTAATCTCAACACGATTAAATTCTGTTTTTTTTAATGGATTTTAACAATTTGAACCAACTGTAATTCACCATAAAATAATTTTAGTAAATATGATTGATAGGCATTAAGTAAAATTGTTCGTGAAATTTATCAATCAATTATTGTTTGAATTAATTTAAACTAAAACATTCATAGAAAAAAAACTCAACATCGATAGAAATAATTCATTTCAGCTTATGGTTGAAACAATGAAAGTATTGTTTGTTTGTACAAAGTTTTTTCTCGATTCAAAAGTCGCATTGATCCACTATTTTATATAATAGAAATGACGTAGCTTACACGTTAGTACAGTGATTTTTCAGTAAACATTTTAGCATTTCTATTCCTGGTGGACAATTTTTTTGCTTTTTTGGTATTTCCTCATTCCGTATCGGAATTCGAATTGTTAGAGTTTAGTACTTCTATACATTGATTTTTATTTATTGGTTCAGTAATCATCATTGTGTAGGCCTTTCAGCTTTTGAATTCAGTCAAACTACTTTTTACTATACAGAATCAATGTTTTGAGAAGTTTAAAACATTCGGTTGATAAAACTGATAGAAATGTTAACTATCAAGGTATTAACTAATCAAACGTTATATTGACATAGAGAATAAACAGAAAATTTCAAATCTATCCCTTAATTATTAATTATTCTTATAGCTGTCAAACAGATTAAAATCAATTAGAATTATGGAGATTAGTGTTCTTACACATTTGAAATGATCAGTCAATCATCGTTAGACCACTATTAGAAACATGGAATCACTGAAAGACCGCCATTTCGTCCTGGTATGGGACTCACCAGTAGTGCGCATCCACGACTCCTGCATCTCGCAGGACTCGAAACCGGGACCTTCGGTATTGTGCGCGAACGACTAACCTTTGGACCACTGGGTCGACATCCAACGTTGTTAATGTCTAACTCTGATTATTCTAGATTAAAATCCGCTGAAATACTTATAAAGATAGAAAATTTTATACTAATCAACTTACCACCTAATTTTTGTACATAATCAGTAGATGACCGAAAATTACTAAATAATCCAACCATAATGGGTAATACCGTGTGAGGACAAAGTAACATACTGGCTAAAGAAGTTAAACAACCTTGTTGAAAACTTTCCAGTGTATTTAATCCAAATTGACAATGTTGTCCAGTAAGCTTGTTACCTCCTGTGGTGTATGTATTATAAGATGTAAATGTCTGAGATTTTGCAGAGTTCCAATCAGGAGGCAGTTCAGTAGGACCATTGAATCCATAAGGATGATAATTGAGCAAATGACAGTCGTTTGCAGCTAAATGCAAAATGAAGGATAAGAGAATTAAGAGTGGGTAATATTTACAATGTAAGAAAGCAAAAAATATGATTGTAGCTTCGTTAGGATACGGTTAGAAAAATATTTCTTTTGCTGATTTTGGAAAACTTATCATCTTTATGAATAACTATGAAAATATCATTTGTTTACTCGACGTGACCAATGTATGTGATATTTAGGCAAGATTTATGTCACATATTCAGATGTTAACTTATTGGTTCTTGTTTAGTTATTATTAGTCCTGTATCATGAACAGTCACCACTCCACCACTTCACTTGATTCAACTTCATCTATAGATTTACACGTACATTCATTTATTCTGAACAATCTAAAACCTCGAATTCCTCCTTAACGAAACAGTAGAGACGAGAATTCGCCATCAACTACAAAGATGTCTTACGTCTAAGGGAAATTTCACCTCCAGTTACGTTTATCGAATTCTTCATAAGTCGACTAGATCATCTGATACTTTTTGAATTTGATTCGGGACGATTTTACTACATAATTAAGCAGTTAGATATTAGTATATATTTTCATATGTCATAACAATTATTTCGGCTTATTTTCTCTGCACATTCAAAATCTCAGTTTCTGGCTACACTGTAGAAGCACACAAAATTACAAAGTTCATTATATATGACTATTGTTGTAACTGTGAATAACGATACGGTTAAATACGTAATATCGTCATGTTTTCAAATGTAATATGTAGTCAAATCTTCGTTTTTGGTGTGACCTATAACGCTAGCGCCGTTTATAAATTAATTTATCCTTTAAGATATCACAAAATAATAAATGAGTTTATCTAGGGCGATGAAAAAAACAAAGTTTATCATACCTGTGAGATATATAATAGTACAAATCATAACAGACAATTATGAAAACTTTCATCCTTTTTATACATAGTTAAAAAGGTTAATTGTTTTAACTGATGAATAATTCATAGTTGATTAAGGCCTGCTGAAACTGACTTTTATGATATTGTTTGAATGAGACTGTGTGAGTTTGTCTTACTTCAAAGGAAGAATAATACTGAGATGATGGAGAAGATTTGTAGCTCAGGTGGATGATTGTAGTGGTGGTGTTTGGTTTTCTGACCTGGATGTTCTGGTTGTGAAGTTTTCATTGTTCTTGTGAACAGCATCATCATCAGCACAAACTTCAGATAGAAGTGAAGCCTTCGAATTTCTCCACGTTTGACCTGTAGCTGCAGAAGGACAATGAAAGCTCTACAACCAAAACATTCGGCTCAGAGATCCAAACACCACCACGAAGAATAATACTAAAACAACACTAACTAGCCCTAAATGCTCCTTTTATTATTAACGTAAAATTCAACACATAAATACTAACGACTGGATAGTTGTATAAGATTGATTATGAAAATATTTAAATATATTGGATTGAAATGACTATAATTCTGTTACCAGTACTTTCCAAATAGCTATCTAGAATGATTCGATAAGTAGACGTTAACTAAACAAAAAAATACTTCAGAAATATATGACAAACAACAGACCAAAAAATTACAAAGAAAATAAGATATATTTCTTGTTTTCCTGTGATACTTAAACATAACAATCAGTAGTTAAACACTAAAGCAAAAAACACTCTATCGACTACGCTTCCTAATTAATTGTAAACATACCAAGACCAACAATTTCATCTAGATTAGACTTCTTAGGTTGATTGTGCACTGAATTAATTGATTGCATTTGTCCATTATCAAAAATATTTCCTTTTTTATTTAAATGATGTAACATACTTTGTGTTCGTTCACATCTATGCGAATAGGCATCTTCGGCATTCATTGGTAAATGATGAAAATGTCTGCGATTACTAAATTCATTTCTATTCGGATTTGAAGTAGAACCTGATGAATCATTGGTACATTGTATTTCTGAAAGTTTATTACGCATATACATTTCTTTATTAGTGAATCGTTTTCTTTTATTTTCTTTTGTATCATGTAAGTAAGCATATGGATAGTGAGATAAATTTGTATGCTCTCTAAGATGAGAATTATGTTTTTCTCTAAGAGCATTTGAACTTAACGGTCGTGGTTTTCTTGTTAACTGCTTTTGAGGATAGTCACTTTCACGATTCATTCCTCGATGTGTACTAAAATCTCGACTAGTTGATGTTATAGATCCAGAAGATTGTTCTCTTCGATGACGATGTTTCATGTGTCCGCCATGAATTGAGTTCTGTTGTGGAAATCTTTGAGGTGCATGAGTCATTGTTGGTTCAAAGTGTGAATGGTGCATATTCGTTTGAACACTACTTGATCTATAAAAATTATCATAAAAAGAATCAATAGAATTGTTTAGCATTAAATATCAGCAGTTATTTAGTTAATAATCAAAGTCAATATTAACAGGATTTTCATTACAGGGGTTGTGAAGATTGGTAAGTTACACATTTTCGAAACCATGAATCGATCAATGTTAGACCACCATTAGAAACCTTGAAGCACTGGACAGCCGTTTCGTCCTGGTACGGGACTCATCAGCAGTGCGCATCCAAGACTCCTGCATCTCGCAGGATTCGAACCCATGACCTTCGGTATTGTGCGCGAACGCCCTAACTGTTAGACCACTGAGCCGGTATCTAACGGTGTTAATGTCTAACTTGATCAAATTCACGGAGTTGCGCAACCTCATACACAGTCTTCGGTAGACAGCGCCTACACCCGAACAGGTTGAGCTTCACTGGTCACGTCTTTCCACTAGAACTCTTAGAAGATTCCTCACGAAGCTAGTCACTTCTGAGGAGTCCCATACCAGGACGAAACGGCCGTCCAGTGCTTCCAGGTTTCTAATGGTGGTCTAACATTGATCGATTCACGGTTTCAAAAATTTAGAGGATTATTTAATTATTAACAATTTTAATTCAGTTCATTGAGTCTGATCATGTACCATTATTCTATTGAATTCCTCATCATTTTTATCTTTCTCTTTTTAAATTTATCCCACTCTACTATACTTATTGAATAATATTTTCGAACCTTAATCTTCTCCATTATCGCTAATATTTTTACTACATGTATAGAAATTGAATGGACAATTGTGTCTCTATGCTAATGTGTTATGACAACTTGAACCGATGTACGTACGTACGAAGTTTCATATTGTGACTGACTGACTGTATTTGTTTGACGCAGATTTTGCAAAAATTGTACCTAATTAATTACATTTATTTTGTGTTCAAATTTTGTCCCAGTCTTTATAAAAATATTACTTGGACCAAAAAATTTAAATTCTTAAATAATGAGCTCTTACACTACACAACTTTCAACACATATATGACTTGTTTTCATAATATCTGTCAGCTATTTTTGTGAATAACTTAAATTTATTAATTTGTTCTTTTCTGTTCTTTCATAGTCCAAATCACGAGCTGATCATATTTGGAACATCATCGAAAGCCTGAAAGCATTGAACGGCAGTCTCGTCCTTGTAAGAGGCTTCTCTAAATTATGCATCTAAGATTCTGAATCTGACAATCGAATTAAAGAATTCTATCTTGCTCACTAATGCCTAACCTACAGACCACTCAATAAAACGTGGACCGATAAAAATAATGCTGTATAAGTTATCTAATTTCTTCATAATTATAAAAATTGTTTGTCACTTGATAAGTGAAATATGATTAATTGAGTAGTTCGAATATGTTAATTTAATAAAAGTGTAAACACAATTATCGAAGTCGAATTGTTTGTCATCAGTACTATTATATTAACAAAGAGAAATAATAGCCCTCTCTTTTGTACGGATATTATTGATATTTATAATTGCCCATGTAGGTAAAATATTTTAGGATTTCATATACGTGCTTAATTTAACTATATAGCACATTGGTTTACCATTGTTAAAAATATATGCATTTTAGGGAAATAAAACCAATGAATACAATGTAAATGCATAAATACAGAGAGTGATAGACTGAAATAGTTTTAAATGACATTGTGGTAAATATCAAGGACATGAAGTAAGATTAAACCGAAGGACTGTTTGTTCAACAATGGTTAAAATCTATTGAGATTAACTAAGCAGAGTTTATACAACCTATAATTCCAATATTCCTATATTCGACTATTGTCATTCACTTAATTTCAAAAGCTAAGAGCAGATTAACTAAATTGTAAAAATGCATTTATTTCTAAATATTATTGAGAGTTCATGTTTCTCCATGTAGAATGGCTTTTTTTATGCATACAGTTTAGTAACAAATTCATTATTGTGATTAAAGTTAAGATTTAATCTCAATAGAATTAATTACGTTGAGTTCTTCTAATCTGTCTAGACTTATTACTTATCATCTGAATGATAAATTGCAAAAAACACCTACCTAATCACTGTTCCAACTTTTCAATAAATTTACAGATCGTTTATCACATTTTACATTCTACTGTTCATATTAGAATTAAAATAATATCAGATCTAAATGCCTTTCAGATACTTCAACTTATTTATAGTAACATCATTTTACTGAAAGCTCAAACAGTTAACGTTGCGAAATCACAAACTCGATACAATTATTTAAATGCATATATTCATATGCTTTGTCATAGTTGCCTATATGTAATACACGAATTTACATTATCGGTTAGAGTTTTGGAGATGTGTATTTACACATTTGAAATCATCAATCAATCATTGTTAGACCACCATTAGAAACCTGAAAGCACTGGACGGCGGTTTCGTCCTGGTATTGGACTCATCAGCAGTGCGCATCCACGCGAAAAATCCCTAGATCAATCGGAGTTAGACATTAACACCGTTGGATGCCGTCCTAGTGGTCCAGAGGTTAGGCGTTCGCGCACAATACCGAAGGTCCCGTGCTCGAATTCTGCGAGATGCAGGATTCGTGGATGCGCTTTGCTGATGAGTCCAATACCAGGACGAAACCGCCGTCCAGTGCTTTCAGGTTTCTAATGGTGGTCTAACAATGATTGATTGATGATTTCAAATGTGTAAATTTACATTATGTATACAAGAAATATGCAAAAAAATTTCCACATTAACATAAACAAGTGGCCGAAGTAAAGCGCTTGTTTTTATTCAATAATGACTATTGAAAACTTACTTATTAAGGATAACTTTAAAATTTATAGAATTTCAAATACTAAAAGGTACTTTTCAATGCTTTTTTCATTCTGTTTGTCACTATTTGAATGATCTGACATCCTTCAATATTTTAATTGGTCTAAAATTTGGATATTCAGGCGAAATAAAATGAACTTCACATTTAGGTGTTTAGTAATTTTTCACTGTTGTAACAACTAAATATGAAGAATGTATTAAACATTACTCTCTTAGATCGCCTTGTTATCAACCGCTTACTATGGTTTCATTGTAATAATTTCAAACCGAGCATTAGGTGGCATTTCTACTAAAAACATCAATGAGGTAGTTTTTAATACGAAATTCTTTCAGATACTTGGGCGTTTTTCAAAGCATATTTCTTTCGTTGCATGATATTGCATAACTAGTTAGCTTACAGTCATTCATTTCCTGTTAGGACTCATTTTTTCAATTGTTTCTAGATTTTAAGATTGTGAAAATAAATAATTTTGTTAATGTTGTGGACTCGAATTGCCTCCTTTATATTAGTATTCGTGTATTACAGATGTTTCTTCTGATTTTTCTTAAAGTGCATTTATTGATCGTTTTGTACACTACTGAAGATCAAAGTAAGCAATAATCATACAATACACTTCGTATAGTCTTTATGCCTGATTGTTACATGTTGCGTGTTTTATTATTGACTCGAACAATTTAGTATACATTTTGGTTAATCTTGTAACAAATTTTTAAATGCAGATTTTGAGAAATAAAATGATACTTTTATTCTTCTATATTATTAAAATCATAGGACATCAATAATGACAAATGGTGCATATAAAAATACTTGAAAATATTGTCTGTCATATTATTCTTATCATCTAAAGTCTATGGTTGTTGTTATTATAGTATGTAATAGAAATTTATCATTTTAGAATATTTTTTTAATAAACTTACTACCAGTGAAATATTTCTTGTAGATATTAGTTTCATCAACCAACACCAAAATTAGGATTTTCAATACAAATGTCAAGACAGTTCTATTGTATGAAGCGGAAACTTGGAGAACTACAAAAGCCGTCGTCCAAAAAATACAAGTATTTATGAACAGCTGCCTTCGCAAAATACGTCGGATTCATTGGCCAGACACTATCAGCAACAACTTATTGTGGGAGAGAACAAACCAGGTTGGAGTGGAGGAGGAAATCAGGAAGAAGCGGTAGAAGTGGATAGGACACATTGCGGAAAGCACCTTACTGCGTCACGAGACAAGCCCTCACGCGGAACCCTCAAGGCAAAAGGAAAAGAGGAAGGCCAAAGTACACATTACGCCGAGAAATAGAGAAAGATATGAGAAGAATGAACGAAAATTGAACAGAACTGGGAAGGGAAGCTCAGGACAGAGTTGGTTGGAGAAAACTAGTCGTCGGCCTATGCTCCATTGGAGGTAACAGGCGTAAGTAAGTAAGATATTAGTTTAATTACATGGAACTTATGAAGAGATAAAGTCTCAATTCCGAGTTTGTTTCACAACAATTAAATTAAAATCTCACTTATATTGAAACACGATGAAATAATTGTTTTGGGATGAAATTGTTTTTATTAACTTTACTTTTTCTTTAATTGCTCAAAATTTAATTATTTACCTTAAAAAAAGGCTTCAATCAAATTACCAAGTAATATATATACAAACCACTTGAATTCCAGTCACTGACGTAGTTTCGTATTGAAGAGAAAATTTTTCTTTTAAAAGAGTATAAATGTTAGAAATTAGTCTAATATGATTTGAGTGTTTTAAGATTCTATGATCAGCAATAGGTGAGATAACACTAAATTTTAAATGTAAGCTATTACTACATAGAATTAAAGTGGTTTTATGCTTTTTGGATCTTTATTCATAATGAATTTTGGGTTTTAATACATTGTAAAAGGATATTTCAGTCAAAAAACATGAACAGTTACTTCATTTTTATCTAAAATACCTTCCCTTAATTAGTACTTGGTATTCTTTAGCGGTTTTGATAAATTACTCCTCATTCAGTAGTTGTATGCTAGAAGAGGCAACATATGTGATTCTAAGGGATTGTGTTCAATATGATGGTTACACTGATGGAGTTATTTTCAAGTTGAGCTCCAAAATTTTATATTCAATCAGACTGAATTGACAGACAAAGCCCGAACAAAGGTTTAGGGATGAAATGGTGTAAGTAATATTAATTTTTAAATAAACTCCTTCTGTAGACAAACTACTACTTTTTTTTGATTTAGGTAGTATTTCAGGAAGATTAATAAAAATAAATAAATCCTAAGAAGGCTTTTTTTGCACTACTATATTTAAACCCAATAATTTCAAACATCAATCAGCAAAGTACACGTACATCTATAAATTTCAACTCCACTCAATCTCATTAAAATCTTTACAACGTATACACCCACTGACATACACACAAATACACGCGACGATAACAACTCACACAGAATCACGACCAAAATCACATGAAACCGACATATTTAAATTTGTTTTGGTTGAACTGTGTATTGTGTCAATCAAATTCCTACCAAATGTTTATTTACTCAGAAGAAACGACTGCGAAATTAAGTTACGAATTGAATTTCTACCGGTTATACTACTTCATGAGTTTCATTATTTTATTACTATTATTATTATTATTAATATGTTGGCAGTTTATGTATTATGATGTTTAAAATTATTCAACTGACGTTATCTAAAAGTAAATTTTTAAAAATGACAAGTTATTTTGAATGAAAAAAGTGCATTTCTGTACGTAGGTTACTGATTTGTTAAACACATCTTAGTACATAATTAATTACTCTTTTTTAACCAATCAAAGTACAACGAACTGTTTTTACTATCAAATTATGCGTTTAAGATAAAAACACCATTGGATGCCGGCCCAGTGATCTAGAGGTTAGGCGTTCGCGCACAAGACTGAAGGTCCTGGGACGGAACGGCCGTCCAGTGCTTCCAGGTTTTGAATGGTAGTCTAACAATGATTGATGATTTCAATGTGTAAAACAATGCGTTATTTCTATTTTCTAGTCCATTTCTTGGGCCAAAATAGACGTAGAAAATAAATAGTTCTGTTTACGCGGTTATTATCAGTAACCAATGAACTATTAAATAATGTTTTGAAAATCATTCATATCGAAAGTTCTGTCGACACTTTATTTTGTACACAGATGAAAACATATTGTCTACAAAGTGTTGACTAAAATATATTCCTTGGGCATATGACTTCGAGTTTCATTATTTTAAAAGAGTGAAATGACTTCAACAATAACAATCAAGTGATACACGAGTTGATAATACAATACACGTCTTAAGTAGTGAAATCCAGGGTCTTGTATTAATGTATTTCAATAATCTAAAAATAAACATGCGTCAATCAGTTATAAAAAATAACTATGCGAAATCTGTTCAAGAAATTTCATGAATGACTTTAAATAGGACTAGCTTAAAATGAAGACAATTTGAATGCAACATTTTGCTATTAACATTCAAGTACAATTGTATTTTTCTGTAGACTTTACATATTTGTTCATTTTCCTGAATTTATTGGTGAATCAATGTAAGAATTATCTAACATATACACTTATTTTAAAATTCAGTCAAATGAACTACTTTTGACCAAATATAACGTTCCTAAAATTTATCTGTTAATGTAGATATTATCTATGAAAAGATGTTATATTTTAATAACTAGGAAGTAAAGAGAAAGAAAGAGAGCAATCTTGATGGACAGATAAAAATTAATTGTTATTACGAAAACAAATCAACACTACATGCCAATATTCTTGTAACTTTTATAGATTTTTGCTTATATTGATTAAAAGTTAGATTTTTAAGTACAATAGCTGTCAGTAGTGATAATTCTTAACTTATTGTTTAAAACAGTGTATAGATTTCTTGCAATCTATACTGATCAATTGGCATATATAACTGATTACTTGATTATTATGCTTGCTTTCATTCCATTTAAAAAAAAACTATCCAGTTACATGAATAATTTTATTGCTTTTTTTATCGAACTGTTTAATTCTCTACTAGTTATCTGTGTAAAATCATCCTCTATCGATTGTTATCATAAGAGATATGTAAACATAGTTTTCATCAAGTTACCACAATAGCTATATCCACTGAGAACCGAGAAGCGCCACCGAATTGTTTCACCGAACTATATTATTATTCAGCGTAAATCAATCGCGATATTACCATGAATCAAGAATAAACCTAGGACACTAACTAAAGTCACCGCAATGCTATCAAACGACACACATTCTGAAATGATTGTGATCGTTCTCAGATATCTTCTAACCCTGACAGTTATTCTTGTTTCATATCTTACATGATCGAACTTTGTCGGTCTCCGATTCTCGACTTTTACTTTAAAATGTGGCGGTTAGTGAGAACTTGATTTTCTTGACCAAAACTTCAGTGGTTTAAACTTTCTAATGTTTAGCACAGTTATTATTGTCTCTTCAGAAGTTAAATATAATACCGAAACGTTACTTATGATGCAAGTGAAAAGCTGAAATTTTATGCTAATTCAGAAGAAGTTGTTAAATGGAAGCGGTTGTCATTAACTCCATCAGTGGCATGATGGAGTTGATGGAAAAAAACCTAAAGCAGAATAATATAATATCTATGCGATGTTGTAAAGTTTCAAACCGTTTTTCTCTTCAATTCATGTAGCTACACAAATCTGCTTTAAATGTGTTCATACCTTAACTTCTAAAGCATTTCTTAATTATCAAGTTCATAGAATTACATAGAAATGTTTAGTTCATAGAATGTTTGGTTTATGCACATCAAACGTGTAAACATGAAATAATTTACACGATTTTACTTTGATGTAAGCAAAATTCTTCATCGAAATGATTTACTGTTAACTTTATATTATTCATTGTAATTGTCAACAATAACATATATAAACAATTGTCTATGCAAGAGTGAATGATTTTGTTAATTAAGCTGTGAAATGATGCAAAAAATGAACAGTTTTAATGTATGAATAAACATCTTAAGCATTTGTTATTTTGCAATGGATTTGACTAACTAATTCTCTGTATATATATACCATAATTTATGTTAAATTTAGTTGTTTAACAAGCACCTCTCAAGGTGATTAAGCTAAGGTATATTTAAATGTGTTAACAGCTCTATTCCAGCTCATTTAGTATCAAACACCCAACATTGAGTTATAATTTTCAATGACAGATCATGTTAACAGCAATCTGCCTTAATCATTTAAACTAAGAATCTTTCAGATAGCTGAAGCAATGTTCATTTGGATATATATATATTCTAATATGAGGCGAATTTTTCAGAGTATGACAAGTTTTTCATTTACTGAAGCTGCTTAGAATAGAACGTAGTGTATGATTTCTCAAAATCACTCTAATCAATATTAAGCAAACCAGATAATGAAACGATAAACAAAGATCAGTTGAACTTCAGCAATAAGATGTGCTTAAGCTGCAAGTAAAGCTACATTAAACAAATTGGACTTCTTTTTCGTCTTTGCTTGTTTAAACAGCACTTTGTTTTACTAAACAGTATACAGTGTTCGCCTTTAAATCAAGCCGTGTGGACATTTATTGACAAATCGACCGAATGACTACGAAGAAGAGTAGTACACTTCCAAAGGGACTCATGTTAATCAGAATCAATTTATCAACTAATTCTTAAAAACAGACGTGAACAGTTTTCATATCATCAATAACTGGAAAGACGATGATCAAAATAGATATTTAAATGTTGACGGGTTAACGAACAATAACTACTAACGAAAATCAAGGGTCATAGAGAAAGTATTTAGTCATACTTAACGAAATTTCAACGGCAGAAAAAACTGTCTGAATCCGCCTTGATGATTCACAATTATGCCACTGGAGTTGAAAAATGAAATTGAAGTAAAACCTCCCAAGTTTTATTGAATTATCTCGATATAAAACAATTAACACTAAAAAAACTATGTCTGAATTGAGCAGTTTTTAACCGCTTCCTACCATGTAGACATAAAACGAATTCGGTTTCCTGTTATTATCGTTTTTTTATCAAGACTACAAAGCGATACGTACATGGAGTTTCCTCTAAGTCCTTAGAAAAACCGGATAGTTGAAAGTACAGATTTATTGCAAAATCAATATAAAGTTGATCTTTATTGACTTCGTTTATGCTAACATTTCTATAATGGTAGCTTACAGATGATTGTATATTCAGTCACAAAAAATGTACAAGGCATAATGACTGAAAAATATTTCAACGTAAACTATTCGACAATATACTTACGCAAATTACTCAGTAATATACTATTACCAAACTTTGTTATCGACAATTAGAAAAAATACTTGAAGATGAATAACTGAACGAGGCCGTACATATTTGCCTGAACAATAATCTGACAACGGTTACCATTGTTTTGCATAAAATCTTTGAAAACAGACACTGATTCAATGCTTGCATAAAGGGTTTATAGTATTCTAAAATATGATTCTATTAAGTGTTACACAACGATTTTTATAGTGAATACTTGAGTGCATTTTGATTCTACTTTTAATTATTTAAAAAGAAAAAAACCGAAATGATAATCATTTTTATTCCTCATTTATCAAGAAATACATCTTTCCTACTCATTAGAAGGACTAGTGGTTATGCATTTTGTTGTAAAAACTTTGTATACGCTTACCTGAAGTTTTATGCAGTTGTTATTTAGCAATCATCTTATGAACTGTTTAATAATCCAGTTGCCTCAAACTTTGACAACATTCAAATTCAATTTGATTGATACAGTCAATAATATTATTCATAGTATTATCATTATTATTATTACTACTCCACTTTTTATATTATTCCGAACATATCCCAAATAAATGACATTTAGATGTTGAATATATATATATAAATGTACATATACATATAATCGGTAGTAAAAGTAACTGGCATGCTAAATAAGAAAAAAAAATACTGAATAATTTACTTCCAGTTATTTTTCACTGGTCGATACAATATCATCTATCTGGATATAAGAAAATATTCTTATTTTATATCATCAACACTAACACTAACAAAAAAACCAATCAGGAATATTTTAGTTTGTTGTTCATCTATTTCCTTCCCCTTCCCGTCGAAGTTGGCCTTCAATGGAAGCTGGAACTAGGAATTAGTGAGATAGACAGGGAATTCTGGACATATCTTGGCTAGCAATTATGGACACGTTTCTATCATACATACAAATATATATATATATATATATATATATATATATATATATATATATACAAATATATATATAAAACGATAAATCTTTCGTCAGTTCAGAAAGCAACTATCATAAAAACAGAGAATAATTCCTCCGCGTTAAATCACGAATATATATATATATATATATATATATATATATATATATATATATATAGATTAAGAATCTTATAGAAAGGAAATTCGATTATTATTATAGATAGCCAGCCACCTACGAATATTTAAATAGAAAATTCGATTTTTTCTTGTCTATAACGCTGGGTGACAGATATGTTTATTTTTTTGTTTTTGCTTAGTTTATCGAATCAATAGTTGAATAGTAAAATCGGATTCGTTGTTATTCTCGCATGAATCAATGCAATGCTACTGTTACAAATTGGGATAATGAAAGCAAACAACAGTTTTCCAATAATTTAATCATGACAATGATAACTACAATAATAATAATAATAATAATGGCAACAGTCAAGTAGATTGTTAATAGATATTTCATTTTAGTTGAATAAGTTTTTGTTTTTTTCAGTAGAGAATTTTTCTTCACGATAAATAAACAGTGAAATAGTTGAGAATATATCATTCTTACTCAATAGGAGAATGTCGTACTGGTGTAATGACAAATAAACACTATCAGATTTGACTTGTCAAGTTTTAACTTATACGTTCCATACACTCTTATTCAATTCCAATAAACTATGTCAGCCAACACTGGCTACAAGTCAATGAATGGTACTTACGTATTTATGTTATTTACATATATATATGAGAATACAGATTTTTGACATAAATAAGTGAAAATCGAGTGTTATCAACAGATATATATATAAACATAAATATATATTTATTCTTCAGGTAAAAAATCAGATTATTTACTTCATGCATAGGGTTTTCTATAGAAATTTAAATATATAGAAAGAACAATAAACAATTTATGAAGATCAATTAAAGAAAAAAAATACAATGAATTTGTTGTATTATGTAAATAGTATCTTTCGTGTTTGTCCATATTAGTTATGAATGATTGAGAGAATCGATGTTACAATGTATATATATATATATATATATATATATATATATATATACAATACTATTATGATTTAAACAAATGGATTTAGAAGTTCATGGTCAGAAATTGAAAGTTGACATTAATTATATGATTTATTTTAAGTGTTCCAAAATAATTTAGTATTTTAACTTGTTTTGTTTTGAAATTTTCACAGCGTTTTTTAAAATTTTTTATAATCCTTGAAATCTCCTTATACATCGATTCATTCCAACTCAGAATCAAAGACAAAGATATATGCGCATGATTTTATGAATATCGGAGACTCCTTAATATAAAAGTTTTTATTGATGAATCATTCTTTAATTTATATTTGAGAAGAATTTTGTGAAGATGTACAAGAGGAAAACCACCAAGTGCCACATGGTTCCGTCAACATGTGGAACTAATGTAAGTTTGGTTCAGTGAACTTCGATCAGTTCATTCATTTTTTTGATCAATTGATTAAAAAATGCAATCAAAAATCAATTTTTAAAAATTACATTTTTTTCCTTGATAATCCAAAGATCCATGTCCCCAGTATAACCAAAAATTTTTTATGATGAAAAGCAAGTGAATGTTATGTTTTTGACCCCTTATAGTTATATGCTTAGTCCTGTTGAACCTGCATTTTCATAAATTAAATCTATTTTTTATAAGAAGATCACTGGCAAGCGGATTTAATGAATCTTTTACAAATCTTATATTATATTAAATTCTGTAAATCAATTAACCACAAATGATTTATACAAGGTTATTTGAGGCATATACGTTGCAATTGTTTAAAAGCGTTTGCTAAAGAAAACTTTAGTTAAAAAATAGTATTCTTTTTATTTTTTAAAGAACACTGAAAATTTTAAAAAACGAGTTGAAATATTATATATAACAAATTCTTTTTTTTGTCATAGCTAATGATTGGAAATTATTTGATTTAAGCTTAGCATTTATCATGGAACAACGTCAAATTGTAGATATCAACATATTAAAAGAGTCACTGAAAAATAGTTACACTTTTGCTCAGATTGAAACTCTTTAAAGTGGATACAAATTATGAAATTACAAATTATTGATTATCTAATAATCATTTCTATTGAAGAATATGATATTTTTAAAGTTGAATAAAAACGTTCATTGTGTAGGAAAAATTGTAATTAGTACATACTGACAGAGTAAATGGTTGTCTGGCAGACATGACAATGTTTTTTTATATCATGAATACTAGTGATTTGAAAATCTGCGAACTGACAATTGAAGAGAAATGTTCAGATTTTCAGAGACTATTTTTCATAAAAATCAATTTAATCGAATCGATACATTGGCATGTGGAAATTTGTTGTGAATCAATACATATAGGTATAGCAAGTAACATGCTTACAGACATTGTTTACTAATATTTAATATGTCCATAAATGTTGTCAACATTGTGAAATAATCTAGGTAATTTTAATATTTTACAATATTTTATTCAGATATGTTAAATATTAGATGTTGAATTTTTGTACATTGTTTAAAGGAAGCAATGTATAGTATCGCAACTCGTATTTTAAATTTTTAACAGGGTTTTTCAAAATAACCAAAACTTTTTTTAAAATTTCCACAGCGTTTTTAAAAAAATTTTTACTATACTTAAAATGTCAGAAATGAATAGGGAAAACACTTTGATTTCAAATGAAAAAAGAAAAGATCTCACAAAAAAGGTGTTTTGAAGATGGATACAGTGTTACAGATACAGCATTTTTTGTGGTGACGTGAATTATCAGGCCGTTGCAAATGAATCAAGTGTTGAAAAGAATAAAAAACATGAAAACTATCATATAAGAAAATCAATGAGGGAATACTCAACTTTGTTGAAGAATGAATAGAACTAAACGCATTAATAACAATGGTACAAATTCGAGAAAAACCGATCCCTTGAATCTATAAAAAGAATAATTTATATACTTCAAATTACTTTACAAAAAAAGTGGTTTCTTATGTACATAAAATAATACCAAATGATTCACAAGGTTATTCAAAGCATATACGTCGTAATTGTTTAAAACCGATTGATAAAGAAGACTTTTATTAGAAAAAATATTCTTTTTATTTTTTCAAAAAAATTTTAAAAAGCGCAGACAAAATTTGAAAAAATTTTTGGTTATCTTAAAAAACCCCGTTAAATATTTAAAAAACGATTTGAAATACTATAAATATATATTTTTGTTCACTTGTTTCAGTACCACCATCTTAGACCTGATTAGATAATGACATTTCTCATAGAATCTTTAGAAATTCCAAGTGAATAACAGCATTGTATCATTCACGTAAAGTATCTTTCTTATCAGGCTAGTTCAAATAATAAGCTTTAATTAATAAATCTGTGTTTTTTATGAAATCAATAATTAAAGTGTACAAAAGAATAATCTATTTATTGACAAAATGATATTGATTGTCTCTGTTTCGTAATATAACAAACCATCATTATAATGAACTTTTTCCTAAAAATTTTGAAATATTCATTTTTACAATTACAGTTAGTTAAATTGATTAGTTGTTTATATTAACTAAGAAAAATTGTGCCTTTTTTAAGTAAATCAGTACAATTTATTATACCGAGAAGAAAGAAAAAACAAAACAGACGGTACCCAAAATGGGGTTAGGTAAAATCGTTACTTATTTAGTTATGCTTTAGATCTTTCAACTAGGCATATGATTTTTATAAGTAAAACTATTTTACTAAAATATCATTATGTGTTGTGTAATTTACACACTGTATTATTCAGGGCATTAATGAACAATATCTTACATATTCATTTGATGAGCGTATGGAATTAGTTTTTTTTTCATTTTCGAAAATTCAATATATATATATAACTGTTCATTACATTTATTTGATAAAATGCACCAAGATTTAATGAAAGAAAATAACATTTCATGCTAAAATTATTGAAAATGTCAAAATTATTTTCATTATAAGATAGATATTTGATAAGTATTTTTTTGGAATTTAATAAAAAATTTCAAATGTGTATGATGTTTAAGTCAATAAATTTTGGATGAAGTATAAAAATTTAAAACTATCAATATATACTTTAAATGCCTGAGATTCTGAATAGTATTGATTTCATGCATTTAAACCATATCTCTTCTCGACGTGCTCGAGATGTACTTACGGTAGGTTTACAGTATGTATCGTTCTTCAACTTCTTTCCAATTCACTTCAACTAAGCCAAATTGCTTGTCAATAAAAACTCAAATGATTTATCAAAATCATAGTTTCCATTTTCGATTTGTTTCAATACTATGAGTATGAGGAGGGAAGAGACAAGTACCAATAGATTGAAAAGAAGGACATCAATACGCTATAGAAAAAAGTGGACACAGCATGTGTGAAAACTTCAGAGGAACCACTCTATTATCAGTACCATTATAAGTTTTTAACAGTGTTTTTAAACCGAAAGGAAGATTCAGTAGGTACCGAACTTCGGGATCAGCAGGTTGGATTCCGTAAAGATCGATCTCAACACTACAGATCATTGTGAACTAATTAGTTAAATGAAATTCACCATTGTACATCAACT